TTGTGTCTCGCGGGTTTCACAATAATGGACATGGAATGTCGACGTACACGTAAAGCGATTGAAAGAACGGAAAGGAGGACTAAGAATCTCCAACGACAACTGGCAGTGCTACATTTGCTACAAGTGCCTGCACTTCAGCATCCATCCAGCTATCGCTGTTCTCCATACTTGCGAAATAAGTTGATAATGTTTATACAGCGTTTTAAATCATGCCAGTTGAGTGCGTTTTCATACGCGCTTGGCCAATCAATGTCTACTTCCGTCACAATTAGTACCAGTTGTGCTGGTTAGACCCTGCTCTGGAGTAGGAGCTAATTTGGTTCTCGAAAAAGGCAGTCCTGTACTAAAATCGCACCCAGTTCCGGCGGTGCGAACACGCCGAAAAGTGGGTAGTTCCACAATTAGTTCTGGTACTATGAAAAGGTTCCCGCGGTGCGAAAGGCCCTAAACATGCTGTACACATACAGTCATTCAAACACAAAGTCAATCACAGTCCAACCAATAAAACTGAGATGATGCGAGTTCGCAACTTCTCTAAATCACCTGTCTCTGTTTGATCTCCTCTTTCTTCTGCTCCAGGAAGGCAGATGGGATACCAGCGATGTTCTCCTGGGCGCTTAGTAACAGCGGCCAGAGGTCCTTCATGAACTCCCGAGCATTCTTCCCATTCAGAAACCCGGTCAAATTAATCTGCATCATCTTCCCATCAGGATTCTGCAACGAACAGCAGGGAGGAAGAGAGAGGGGAGGAAACCAAGCAGTTAATACTGACACGGAACCAGAGTGCTGATCTCTGAAAGTCTACCTATACCTTCCCTTCCTGAACATAAGTAAACAGCTGCTTTTCAACAAGAGCCCAGTACCTGTGTGCCTCAAAAATGTCTCTAAAACCAACAGCCACAGCTGAATGTAATTTTTACTAATAAACCAATTGTATAAAAGTAACAAAAAACACTTCTAAAATGAATAAACTGCCTTTGAGCATGCATTACAAGTTTACATTTTATCATCTGAACTGAGATGTACCGTCCCAGTTCACATCCTCGCGTCAAGGAGCAATAAGACCCTCCCCTCACCACTAGGGCTGTCTCTTCCTGTGCAATATCAAACTCCTGAGATATAGAAACATTACAGTCCACAAACAGAGTGCATCAAAACCCCACAAAGCAAGAACAGTCCAGTTGTCTTCAGTGTGAGTGGCGCAGGCTCTGTGGGCTGGGGGGGCAGAGAAAGGCGCTCCATTGGCTGGCCTCCGCCTCACTACTGCATCACACTCAATCACCTTGAGTTTAATGCTATATCATTTATCTAAATTGCAAGAGACGAACAAGCAATAATGAGTACACAAGGCATGGAAAACGCTTTATTTACAACAAATGAAGAGGAAAATAAACCTATGAGATCCATGTGCTAAGACAGGTTTGCTGAATCATGCTCCTAAAGATGTACAGTAGGGCTGAACGATTAATTGCATTTGCGATAATATCGCGATATGAAATAACGCGATTTTTCAATCGCAGAGGCTGCGATTACACGGTCACATGACACACGAGAGTAAAGAGGTGTGTTCGACTTGAAGATCAGATCGGTGTATGACATCAAAGTAAGGCGAGAGAAAGCATAAGGAGATGTCCGCGCTCTCTTATAGCTCTCTCAGTGCTTTGATGACACACCCATCGGTCTAAGCAGCGCTACTTCAAGTCGAGCGCGGGCCATCAGCAGAAAAAGAAAATAAATAAAACTGTAAACAGCCAAAGGATGTAACTTAGAATGGGAGATGGATAGGTTTGTGAAAGCCAAGAGAAAAGCCATAGATGAAGTCGCACAGACCCAGGCAGGTGCTGGTCATTTAAAAGCTAAATGCATAAAATATGACGAGGCATATCTTGCTCTCGGCTTCACTCACTGTGTCTATACCGGATGCTACAGTTGTCGTGTCGCGCCGCAACAGCTCTACACTGGACGCAGCAAAGCAACAATTGCAAATCATTTTAACTGTGTGTCAGTACGTCATAAATAGAACAAGGCATCAGTTTAATATCGCGCCGCATCCAGTGTACACCGCGTCACTGATTATAATGGTTCTACTGTATTTTGCCGCTCGCGTCCGGTGTAGACACGGTGTTTTATGTCGTTGGTGAGGAGGAAAGCCTGTGTGTGTCCTATGCCTTAGCGGACAGCATGAAACCCACAAAAAATAAATAAATAACAGAGAGAGAACAATAATAAGTTATTCTCTCTATGCTATTTTTCAATGTTTCAAGTGATGCAGGTGTTTTTTCCCTGTAGGTTTTTTAAATTAAAAAAGCATTAATTTTTCATAATGTTTACCTAATGCATCACTTAATTTCATTGTAACATATAGGCCTGGCCTACAGAAAATAACATTTATGTTTAATCTATATAATATTGTGTTGGTCATACTATACAATGATTTATAGCTTGTCTTTGTTGAATAATACAGAACAAAGAGCTTTAAAAAAAAACATTTGCTTATTAAATTGCAATCGCAATATTGGTAAAAAAAAAAAAAAAATTGCAATTTGATTCTTTTCCAAAATCGTTCAGCCCTAATTTACAGCACCACCAGTGTTTAGTCATAAGAATAGGGTTGGACCTAAATTTTGCAATAAAGTAGATCTCCAAGAGCAGGACTGAGCACCCGCTGTACTAAAATGAGTTAAAGGAATGTTTCTGTTTCAATACAGGTAAAGCTCCAATGACAGCATCTGTGGAATAACTGAAGTATTTTTAACGCCAAGAACCCAAAATTATGATTCGCTATTCAATATTTTCATTCATATGGACCCATTTAGACTGTGTGATTATAAAAGAAGCCTTTTTTTCCACTTTACACCATTACTGCAAATTACTCAAAAGAAAATTGACTAAGTATATTTTATTTCTAACCGGTATTAAATAAAAACAAACAGAAGAGGAACATTTTTAATTTCTTTCAAATTATTTTTATAGCAATTTTCACACATTTTTTATATATTTTTGTAAACCCTAGAACAGTGGTTCTCAACCATTTTGAGTCACTGTCACCAAGATATTTCCTCTGGTATTTCTGTTGAAATTATGACAATGCTGCTTGTTTTCAAACTTTGGAGTGTTTACATATTCAATTAATTAAACATGATTGATTTTGAGATTCTATAAGATGCAAAATTCTAAATGTTTTTCTTAAATATATATATATATTGCGGAGACAGAGATTTTGGTCATTTTTAAAAAGACAATTAAATAATTTTAAGCCATCCTGTAATTATTCTGAGGAAACTGATATTATTTCATAAATGCTGTTGATCAAACTTATCCAGTACTGATCCTGAAGCATTCCTTTAAGATATTGTATGGCTATGACATTACAATAACTGAAAGCACCTCTAAATTTAAGGAAAAAACTTTTTGTATCATTAATAGGAGCAAATACCTCTCTGGAATCCAACCGAAAGCTTCCTGAAAATCAAATCTTTAGAGACTAAAACATTGACTAATAAACAGAGCTTAGCTAAACTAATGAAAACGCGTCACAAATGTCACATGTCTCGCGTTGTTGTTTTTTTGTTTCATATTGCGCAAATGCACAAACATACAAGAAACCAATGTATTGTTTTATAACTGATAGTGGAGCTATTCACCGAGACTGAGAATAACACGTATTGACTAATTAATTCTATTTAAATAAAATGGGCATCTAACACTAATATCGTACTGTGCTATCATTTCACATGCAATGTTATGTTTTTCGTTTTTATTCTTTAATGGTTGCATGTCATATTCAAAAAAGGTAATCAGGCCTTTGTGTTTAAGATGTACTGCTAAACTTTGACTCTGAAACAGAAAGGCACAAATGATAAAGCTGAAATGACTCTACCACTGGCACAATGTCAAGCCCTGCTTATAACTCACCTCAAAAAATAAAGTTCATCATCAAGGGAGAGTTGGATTCAGAGAGACTTTGGGCTCAGGTGAGATCTAATTAGGAGTTGGTGCTATACTTCAGATGCAAGGAATAAGATCCATATTGGTTCAGGCCTTTTAAATCATAAATCACATCAACATTAGAACATTGCTGTTCAGAAGGAACGGTGTCACAAATCATATCTTCAGAGAGAGAGAATATCATTTTACCCGCTTTTCTGTCTTTTTAAAACCAGACAGACATTTAAAGACAGAGATGTTAGATGTTTTCTGCTGTTACATCTACGCATGGCAAATGTTTCAAATAACTGTCAGCAGTTATTCACTGAACTTCAAACCTTCTCTCATCCTCCCAAAGAACAAAACACATCCAATATATAACTGCAGCATGTGTGAAAAGACAACGGGAAGAGCAGAGCAGCCGTCTACCTTTTCCTCCAGCTGGTTGAAGACAAATTCGATGACGACATCATCCTCAAAGCCAAGGATCTCCGTCACTCGCTGGGTTATCCAGGGCTTCACGACTTCCAGGTTGACCTTGGTCATATCCACCTAATAACGAACCAGAAAACAATCTTGAAACAATCATGAACACAGGATTTTCCATGTATATATATTAACAGATTAAGGTTGACCTATAAGTTACCTGCATATATATATATATATATATATATGCAGGTAACTTATAGGTCAACCTTAATTTGGTTTCAAAAAATGATTTGGTGTCACATGCTCCTTCAAAAACTATTATCATCAAGTCTGAAAAGAGTTGTGCTACTTAAAATTATATTTGGAAACTGTGATCTTTGATGAATAGAACAGCATTCTTACACGGTTGAACTTACAATTTATGGTAAATCTAGGGAACCACAATATGCAATACGTTTATGGTAACAAGGTGCAAAAAAAAGAAAACAAACATGTATTTCCATATCTTCTACCTTCTTCTCCAGACATTCTGCAAACTTCAGTTGCTTCAACAGCTTCTTGTGTTTGTTGCTGAAGCGGTTATCCTGCTCCGCACTGGTGCCCTGAAATAAGAATTCATAATTAAAACACAATATATGATATAACTTCATATTTTCTGTATCTGAAGTGAATGTACATTTTGGAGTATGAGACTGAAAATAAACTGAATTATTTCACCATTTGAGTAGGATATTGACACACACACACACACACACACACACACACACACACACACGATTACGCAGTTTAAGAAGAGCATGGGATTTGTCCGTCTGGGTTACGGTTTCAGTCTGCATTTTCAATTAACTACGCTAACCAGAGCACAGCTGACTGTATAATGTTACAGTGGATTTTGGCTGTAAGAATAAGGGCGATAATATGAAATTCAACGCGTTGGGTTCCTTAAATCGGTTGTTCCTGTTTAATCTGTTGAGTATTTTCTGGTTCCCTCACGCAGCCGCCATTACAGCCACACTCCAATGAACACAACAAATACAGCCTTAAAATAACCAACTAATCAACCAGCTGACAAATAACACACGCAAAACAACATATTCGACCATTATAGTACGAGAGTTGTAAAAGAACATAAGACTTACGCGGAAAAACCCCGCGTCCATTTCTATCGTGTGTCAATATGGCACGATGTCCCACAGTCCACTGCGCCGGGGGAGCTTTTACCTCACTTCCGGTGCCTGTTCAAATCTATTTAATACTACCTTGATTGTTTTTTTGTTTTTATTTTTAATTTAGTGTCATAATGTTTTATAATATGGTGAATTTATCATGAAAATGAAATATTAAACACAAATTTTATTTCATGTTATTTTTGTTAGAGTTTATTATTTGTGACTACTGCAGAGGTCACAATGAACAAAGACATACATAAACTGTTTGCTGTATTAAAGCCATTTATTTGACATACACTTCAATTTTCCACCAGTTCTTAATGAGAGTCATTAAGAGAGTCGTTAACAACTTTTGAGGCTAAATAATAACTGAAAATTAAGGCAGTTTCAACTTTTAACACGGAAATCACACTTGCTTTTGGAAGAAAGGTGAGAAATTCTATATATAGTCTTAAATAGGTCATTTTTATTTGTCTACACCAGTAGCCTATACAGAAGGCAGACTAAGACTTTCAGACAGGCCAAAGCCAAAGAACACCCTCTTTACTATTGCAAGGAATCTTTGGGTGTTTCATCCAGTAGTTCTGCTCTTCTGAGTTAACAAAAAATGTTTTAAAAACTCTTAACAGTATATTATAATACATCAGCAATGCTGAGCGATTAAGTACTTAATTCACACCACCACACTATGCATTGTAAACCCAGAGCCCTTTGATTACTGACCCTAAATAATGAAGACAAAAGTGGGTTTAACAGAACCCAAAATTCAGGCAACTGTGATTTTCTCAGCCATAGCAGCTAGAAAAAAAGGCAGTCTTTTGATTCACATTGAAGGTAGTAGTGATTTAAAGTATTTTCTGCCCATGGCTGTGTTCAAACTGAGAGTCATTAAGAGAGTCGTTAACAACTTTTGAGGCTAAATAATAACTGAAAATTAAGGCAGTTTCAACTTTTAACACGGAAATCACACTTGCTTTTGGAAGAAAGGTGAGAAATTCTATATATAGTCTTAAATAGGTCATTTTTATTTGTCTACACCAGTAGCCTATACAGAAGGCAGACTAAGACTTTCAGACAGGCCAAAGCCAAAGAACACCCTCTTTACTATTGCAAGGAATCTTTGGGTGTTTCATCCAGTAGTTCTGCTCTTCTGAGTTAACAAAAAATGTTTTAAAAACTCTTAACAGTATATTATAATACATCAGCAATGCTGAGCGATTAAGTACTTAATTCACACCACCACACTATGCATTGTAAACCCAGAGCCCTTTGATTACTGACCCTAAATAATGAAGACAAAAGTGGGTTTAACAGAACCCAAAATTCAGGCAACTGTGATTTTCTCAGCCATAGCAGCTAGAAAAAAGGCAGTCTTTTGATTCACATTGAAGGTAGTAGTGATTTAAAGTATTTTCTGCCCATGGCTGTGTTCAAACACTTCCTCTTGTACACAATACATGGAGTGGTCTAGACTAGAGCACAGAGCGAGGTGTCTAGTGGTCCTTACTGTATTTGTAGAAATGGAGCATTTGTGGGGTCAAAATTCAACCCCTCCCAAACAGAATGTCATGATTGGTTAAGATTAGGAAAGCAGAGTTTTAATTATAACATCAGATCATTGAAGTTTGGGCCAGCCAGAATTTTTCTCAGTGCTGAGTCTGACCTTGTTATTTTAATATAGTGTATGATGTCTCTAAAATAATTCAATTGGACAGTTTCATCTCTAATGTGCGCAATGATATTATTATTATTATTATACTGTATTCATCAGAATTTTGTTGTTTCCTTGTTTTCCCCTGTCCCATGACAACTTAAAAACTATGCAAGAACAGATCACAGAGAAGAAAGACAGAGTCTCCTGAGCGGTGAGAGAATGTGAGTTTTCACTGTTGGTTAACATGTTTTCTTCTCAAGCATACATATTTAGAGAACTGTCAGTGTCAGCAGTTCTCTAACTGACGGAAAGTCCTGGTCTAAAGAAACAGCTACCAAATTTGAGATAAATGAGTTTGGAAATGTACTGGAAAGGTGCTGGTGATCTGTGTATCAGTCCCTGAGAAACCTGCTAGCTGACAGGTAGTCCTGCATTGGTTCTTTTTTCACGGATGGAGGCCAGCATGTCTGTGACCAGCTCTGACAGGCCGTACGCAGGCTTCCAGCCCCAGTCCTGACGTGCGTTAGAGTCATCAAACCGCACTGGCCAGCTGTCCGCTATAGAGTGAACAATATATTTTAGAGGTTTTTTTTCTTTCATTATACAAGAAAAACACATACTGATAGACAATGACCAAGATGGACATTGTTTCTACAAATCAAACAAGTACATTAATATTAAAGGAATAGTTCACCCAAAAATGAAAATTTACTGAAAATGTATTCAGCCCCGGGCCATCCAAGATGTAGATTTGGAGAAATTTAGCATTACATCACTTGCTCAGCAATGGATCCTCTGCAGTGAATGGGTACCGTCAGAATACGCTCAAACAATTTAAAACATCACAATAATCCATACAACTCCAGTCCATCAATTATTGTCTTGTGAAGCGAAAAGCTCATCTGAATCAGGAGAGAAATATGCACAGATCAGCACTGTTTACAAGCAAAAACAGTCCAAAACATATGTGAGAGGACAACAGGGGATAGACTTGTTTCACTGGAGGAACCATTATTATGGATTATGAAGTCATATTTTGGTGAGAAGCAACGGTTTAAAGTTAATGCTTTATGATGGTGTAGCGTCTGGACCAATCAGACACAATTTTTTTTGTTATATTTAACAAATACTCTGTAACACCCCTCAGTCAAAACTATGAGGGTCTATGGACACTTCCCCGAAATGCATCTAACACCTCAGAAAAGCAGAACAAGCCTCTGGTTCCATGGCAACCAATGCTGATATCACTGGTTTTATTGCCCAAAGGAATGCAGGCAGAGCACAACTCACAATTAATTTACCCTTAGGAAAGACACACAATGCCCATAAAAATGGACTCTTCTATAATTAATTCATAGGAAAACCTTTCTGTGAATGAACACACATCTCCTCAGGACATTGTGTATACCATTACTGTTCTTGTATATTGTCTTTTGAATTGTATACTGTTTTGTGTGTGTGTTATGATAGATCACTAGTTAATATAGACCCACCGATACCATGTTTGGTCTCTTTGAATTTGTCTTCTGATGATCTAAATGAGCGTTTATATTATATGTGGGTACATAGGCAATATATTAGTGTTCTAAGAATCTTTAGTAATTTTGATTCGAGTTCCATATGTAAATTACCATGCTCTCACACAAAGGGTCATAAAACTCCCCAGTATTTCCAACCTCCCGCTTGGAATTTCAGCCTTTCTCATTGGACAAGCCCATCCTGAGAGGCGTGAATCTTTTCAGGCCATAAAAGGTTCACGCACAGTTCCGCCCATGTTATGCTAGTTGTTTTCTTCTGCTAAGTCTTCTGCTAAAACCTTCTGATCGAGGGCCGTGTAGAGAGCCTGAGCCGGTGCGGGCGTGCCCGGTGGGCTCCAACACATAGCCAGTTCAGTGTGCGGTTCTGTTAGATTCTGAGAAGATGAGAATGTGAGCTAGAACGCTTCTAAGGACACCCTAAGTTCGTGCCAGGCCTCGTGCCTAGTCTTTCCATTCATCAAGATCCTCTGACTCAAAATGGTTCTTTCTCATCACCTAACTTCAGCCAACGTACTGGAGCCCCAACGAGCATCAGGACTCTCTTTCAAACAGGTGAGACATGCAAGTATCAAACTTTGTCTTATTAATTGATACATTAAGTATCATTTGCATCTTTTACAAAGGTGTGTTTGAAATAAGAAACTGATGTTTCCTTCAGGCTGTAGATCTGCTGAATATCAAATTGTACCATAGCTTCATGTTTTTATTTCTCTTCTCTTTATTGCTTAAGCTTTAACCCTTTTTCCTATGCCAACTGTATGTGTGTGTGTATGTGTATGTTAGACTGGTTTAAGTGTTTATCCAGTTAATAAAGTCTTACTTGTATCACACTTGAGGTTGTTCATTGTTTGCTCATAACTGGAGTCCCTAATCATGCTGATTTTTGCTACATGCTCTGAGTAGTATTGTACAGTAAGAAAGTTATTTTCCTTAACCAGGAAATTAATGTTCTTAGAATTGACAGACAGTTGACGCTGAGAGGTCAAGTAAATACTTACAGCGGATCTAAATATTTATAATTAATTATAACTAGTTATAATTAATTATTCATATTTCCCCTTTGAGCTGATTCGTTACAATGGATATGTTTCTTAAAAACACAGCTTTTTGCTTCACAAGACATTAATTGATAGACTGGAGTCGTGTGGATTATTGTGATGTTTTTATGAGCTGTTTAAACTCTCATTTTGACAGTACCCATTCACTGCAGAGGATCTATTGGTGAGTAAGTGATGTTACATCTCTCCAAATATGTTTCAATGAACAAACAAACTCATCTATATCTTGGATGGCCTGAGGGTGAGTAACTTTTTTAGAATTTTTTCTTTTATGTCGAAATATTCCAAATTATTTAAGACTTTTTCAAAATGTCATTCTTTCTTTCACTGCTGTTCTTACCAATAGTCTGCCGGATGGTATCAGGATTGTACGTGACCCTCAGGTGGGGCAGGTGTTTGCGAATCTCTTCTGCCACTTCTTCAGGTGTGAAGCTCATGGCTGCGATGTTGTAAGTACGCAGGGAAAGTTGGCTTTCCGGGGCCTGCATGAACTCAATGGTGGCCCTGTGACAGTCAGAAATGTGCATCATGGGAAGCCGAGTGTTGGAGCGCAAGTAACATTCATGGTGGCCGGTGCTGAGGGCATCATGAAATATCTGGACAGCATAATCTGAGGAAAAGAGGACATATACAATTAAATAGGTCAGCTGTTGTTTACTGCAAAGAAATGACAAAGCTATGAATGAGTGGGTGAATGCAGGTGTGTGTCTTTTTGTACAACTAAAGATTGTGTCTGTAAGTGAGGAAATGCAGAGTGGCTGGTTACCAGTTGTGCCTCCTCCTGGCTTGGTGTGGGCAGAAACGACTCCTGGGTATCGCAAGCATCGGAAATCCAGGCCATATTTATGGTGGAGATACTGATCCAATCAGAAAAGAGTTAACATTAAGTTGGCATTTCGTAATTACATATCATGTAATAAATTAATAAAGTGTGTGTGCATGTATGTATATACAGTATATATATATATATATATATATATATATATATACACAATATGTTTTTGAAAGAAGTCTTACACTACCAGTCAAAAGTTTTTGAACAGTAAGATTTTTAATGTTTTTTAAAGAAGTCTCTTCTGCTGACCAAGCCTGTATTTATGTGATCCAAAGTACAGCAAAAACAGTAACATTTTTAAAATATTTTTACTAACTGTTTTCTATTTAAATCTATTTTAAATTGTAATGTATTCCTGTGATTTCAAAGCTGAATTTTTAGCATCATTACTCCTGTCACATGGTCCTTCAGAAATTATTCTAATATTCTGATTTACTGCTCAAAAACATTTATTATTATTATTATTATTATTATTTTGAAAACAGCTGAGTAGAATTTTTCCAGGTTTCTTTGATGAATAGAAAGTTCAGAAGAACAGCATTTATCTGAAATAGCAATCTTTTGTAACCTTTTTGCAAAAGCAAATCAGCATATTAGAAAGATTTCTGAAGGATCATGTGACACTGAAGACTGGAGAAATGATGCTGAAAATTCAGCTTTGATAACAGGAATAAATTACATTTTAAAATGTATTCAAATAGAAAGCACTTGCTTTAATTAGTAAAAATATTTCACAATATTACTGATTTTGCTGTATTTTGGATCAAATAAATGCAGGCTTGGTGAGCAGAAGATAATTTTTTAAAGAACATTAAAATCTTACTGTTCAAAAACGTTTGACTGGTAGTGTATATGATCATAGAGGCTGCATTTAACATTGTGAAATATTATTACAATTTAAAAGAACTGTTTTCTATTCTAATATATTTTAAAATATAATGTATTCATTAGATACTTTGGTAATACTTTTGTGGAAACCATGATACACTGTCTTTTAAATGTTTGGGTAAATGAAATTAAAAAATAAAAATAAATTAATGCTGTTAGCTGTACTTTCTATTCATCAAAGAATTATGAAAAAATTCATCACAGTTTTCATAAAAACTATAAAGCAGCTAAACTTGTTTTCAACACTGACTTCTTTCAAAAACAACAACAAAAAAATCTTAAAGCATATAATATGTATTACTAATTTCCCCAGACCAACTAGAACATAAAAAACATAAATCTTTACTTCCCCCATCAGCTCTGCATGGACTTTGGAAACCCCATAAATGGTGCGAGGTCTCTGGATACAGAGGTCAGGTGCTGGGTCACGGGGAGATGAAGGGCCGAAAGCTCCTATGGTACTGGGTACAAACAGTCGCAAGCAGTTCTCCAGAGCCAGATCTAACACATTATGCAGTCCTGAAGAAAGAGGAGTGGGGGAAGGAGAAGAGAAGATCGGGGGCAACAGGAGAAGGACAGAATGTGGGACGTCAGGGATAGTGGAAACCTTACGTTGTAAATTAGGTAGTCACAAACACATAAAACATGTGTGACTGAGTTTTCCCACCTGTGATATTGATGGTGCGGGCAAGAGCCAAGTTAGCTTCCCCGATAGCACTGAGTAATGCACTGTAATGCACCAGCCAGGTGATTCTGTTATTCACAACTAGCTCCCTCAGGTTTTTATAGTCCAGCACGTCAGCGTATACAAACGGACCTGTAAGGAGGATCACCCATCAGAAGCTGGAGGTTAAATGAGAGCTTTATTCATATAGGCTACTTCAGAATATAAATGAGGCGAAGTGATTGAAATGTAGGTAATACTTTACCTTAAAAATAAGGTTCAATTAATTAACATTAGGAACTAATAAATTGTACAACATTTACAGCATGATTCTAAGTTAATACAGGTTAGTACATTCATGTTAATTCATAAACATACTATTGCTCATTAATGTTTGAAATATACTGTAAAAAATAAAAAATTTAGATTTTCAGCAGCCATTACTCCAGGCTTCAGTGTCAAATTATCCTCTTTAAATTGATCAATTTAAAACATCCTTGCTCCATAAAAAAAGTATACAGTTATTTAAAAAAAGAAAAAAAAATTGAACAGTAGAGTATGTAGAAATGAATTGTACTAAAGGTTAATAAATTATTTTTTTAATTGTTTTTCATGTTAGCAATTTCATTAACAAATGTTACCTTATTGTTACTGAAATTGAAATATAAGAGCCACGTGATTAAAAAAACACTCCTACTGTAAACTTTAATAGCCAGTTTATGGCACCACACTGCATGTGGCTCTATATATGTTGCAACTGATGCAACCACCTACCCATATCACAGCTGTATATCTGTCTCAGTGTCAACATACCCATGTTATAAACTTCAGCGGGAGGCCTCCTAATGTCTGACAGGATGATGTTTTCCTTTCCATACTGCTTCCTGATGTAAATGGAATTGAATATGATTACAAATCAAAAGAAACAACAGAAAAAGTTAAATGCTATTTGGTTTTTACAGTATTATAAAGAATCTACCTCAGAAGATTAAAAAAAGGTTTCATACACACAGCAAACATCGATGCAAAGACAAGGCAAATATCCAGTCTATGCAAAGATGTAAAAACTGTGCGTTCTGGAGTCTGATTTCAAATTTCTCCCATGCAGCACATCTTTCAGCTGTTCACTAACCTCAGCATTTCAGCTAGTCCAACTCCAAGCTGTCCCAGGCCACCTTTAACAGGAGAACAACACTTTCAACAATGAAAGAAGCTTAAACACACATTTTACAACCAGTCACAATGACACAACAGAGCACCAAGTAAGCTGAATAAAATCTAAATATGAATGAAAAATGTTACCGCATTAGTAAAATGAATATAAATTCTAAAATTAATTCAAAATCAAATACAAAACTCTGCTTGGACATATTTTAATATTTATTGATAATAATTTAAAAATAATTGACAGACCCCCATGTTAGATTATACAATTCACTACTGTATAAATGGGAACAGATTAAAAACAAGGGAATTCATTACATGAGCATTTTTGACCGCACATTTTGAATGCCTGTCTATAGAAATGGTGACATTACTTTCTTGTGCCCCAGTTCAATTTCTGATCCTGCTCCGAAGCATCAAGTTAGCAAGGATTATGTAGCCTACAGTAATGTTGTATCACCTCGAAAGGGTTTATTTCCTGAGTATGACCACTGTACATGATCCAGTTTATAGGCTACTTAACAAAGAAATAATACATGGATATGAAATATTGATTTGAGTTTAAATCCTCTGTTTTCCATGATGAGCTAGTTCACCCAAAAATGAAAATTCTGTCATGACAGAATATTATTTTTTGGGTGAACTAACCCTTTTAACGCTAAATCTGGCAATTAACCAATCAGAATCAAGTATTCCAGAGAGATGTGCAATAATTAATTATAAACCATGTTCCAATTGCAAATGCGGTTTGTAACTTGTCAAGCATGTTTAAAAGCACCTTTTAGGTCCTCAAACTTCTCACATTCACCCCATTTAAAGGGGTCATATGATGCGATTTCAAGTTTTCCTTTCTCTTTGGAGTGTTACAAGCTGTTCGTGAATAGATAAGATCTGTAAAGTTGCAAAGACTAAAGTCTCAAACCCAAAGAGATATTCTTTATAAAAGTTTAGACTTGTCCACGCCCTCCTAAAACGGTTCGTTTAAACATGCCCCCACATGTCTACGTCACAATGTGGGAAGATTTGCAAAACGTCGCCCAAATGTTCACACAAAGAACGAAGGCGTAACTTTATTGTTGCTGCCGCCTCCATGTTGTGAAGACGCTGTGTGTTTCGTTGCGAAAGCGAAAATACTTTGTTTGGCCTTCCAAAAGAGGACACAACTAGAAATCAGTGGTTAAGTTGTATTTACAACACTGCTCCAGAACAGCTCAACCCAAATATTCAGATGTGTCCAGCGCATTTTAAGGAGGACTGTTTCCTGATCCTGGGAGAGTAGACTACAATGCCGGCTGTTCTGACTCAAAGACTGTAAGTAGGTTTTCATATTTAAAGAATTTGCCACTGATGATTCAAACGCGAGTTTTGAGCAGTGTAGAGTAGTCATTTCTCCGATCACAAATGCAGACATGGTTTTATGTTTACGCGGCGCGATGCAACGCAATGCGTAAAAAGACAGTATAAGTCATTATAATCCGTAATTATGTCCCCACTGGATGCAACAAATGCCTCGTTTATAATGGGTTTTAATGTTTTTGTCTCGTCGCTCCGGGACTGGCCAATCAGAGCACACCTAGCTTTTTAGACCGATGAGCTTTGTAAAAATCTACGCGTTTCAGAAAGGCAGAACATAGAGAAACAATAATGTACAGTATGTGGAAAATAAAGTGTTTTTTTAATCTTAAACCGCATTAACACATTTCATTACACCAAATACACAAAATAATGTTCTTTTTAGCAACATCATATGACCCCTTTAATATTTAACATTCAGCTGTCTGTAACAGTGTAAAACATCATGACTGATGCTGTCTCATGTAACCACAGTAAATTTCAACAACAAACTACTCAAGCACAATACAACAAACCCATATTTTCCCCTATTAGAGACTGTTTACTGTTTAGCATTTTGCTTGAGGTTCAGACAGAAGGCCGTAATGCCCGTTTTGTCAGATTATTATTCAATGATGGCTATCGTAAATGACATAACATCTAAAAGCTCTTTAAATGCCGGTATATCTGATTGGCAGTGATACAAACTTCTTGCAAAGAAACACATAGTAGTAATAGGCTCTACAACATCTTTTCAACCATGAGGTCACAAGATAGTCAGCTCATCCATGAGGTTCTCAAACGGGGTCAAGGTGTCACAGTGTGTACTAAGCGTGTTATTGGTCCGGTCGGGTCCAGCTCGCTCACGGTGCTCTTTCACAATTCTCCACACCTCTTCTCGCGCTTCCTCCATGTTCTGAGCATGCTTAGTCCACCTGAGGAACATCCCTACCCAAATACCATACAAGGATAATGAGGACATTAAAGATGGAAGTATATGTTTTTATTCTTTTGCTTAAAATCAGTAAAGCAGACTTTACATACCAATAATACCAAGAAATTTCAATAATTTATCTTACATTTTTAACTTGCAATCATTTTATCACATTGCAACAGTAACTCACCTGTCCATAACTGTAAGGACTGTGGATGTACTGAGGGCCAAATGGCCAAATCAGTGGGTTCATACAGTGGGTTGAGGTACTGCTCTTCAATATCAGGCTTCAACAGGGACTGAAACAAACAGTGTGTGTTCTCCTTCACTCCTGCAGCACATCTAGCTCAGGCAAAAATAAAAATAAAGAAATCAATTTTATACATTTTAAAATAGACCCTCTCTGTGAAATCCAGGCTAAAGGCTATCATTTCAAACATTAATTTCACTATGATTTCAATCTTTGACATGGCCTTACTCAGTCGATATTAAATATATCAAGGTAATAATATTTAATATTATTTATTAATATTTTTCTGCCAGGTGTTATATTAATCAAAAGTGACAGTAAAGACTTTTACTCTGTTAGAGAATAAACATGTAATACATTTTCCACAAAAATATTAAGCAGCACAATTGTTTTCAGCACTGATAATATGAAATGTTTCTTATGCAACAAAACAGCATATTAGAACAAGTTCTAAAGGATCATGAAAGCCTGTTGAAAAAAACTGCATATGCTGGTTAAGTATGTTTTTAAATATGGCTGCTGGTTTGGGCTGGTTTAAGCTGGTCCTTAGCTGGTCATGTGCTGGTCCTAAGCACCTATCTCCTGCTCAGGATCAGCTTAAGACCAGCACATGACCAGCTTAAACCAGCCCAAACCAACAGCCATGCTTCAAAACATACCTAACCAGCATTTGCTGGTTTTTTCAACAGGGAACACTGAAGGCTAGCGTATCACAGGAATAAATTAGTTTTTAAAATATATTAAAACAGAGCACAGCTAATTTAATTTTAATATTTTACAATTTTACTGTTGTATTGTATGTATTTTTGATCAAATAAATACAGCTTTGGTACACATTAGAGAATTAAAAAAAAAAAAAATTGAAAATCATTTTGAACTTTTAAATGGTAATGTGTAAGGAGTGTCATATAAGGGTAATTTGTGCCCACCTCTCCTGCTCGCTGTTACACAGGAAGGTTCCATAGTTAGAAGCATAAACCTCTTGTGCCAGTCGGAGCAGCAGGGCCTCACTAAACTCCAGTGCCAGAGGAAATTGCCGCCACACCTGCCACACACAGTCAAGCAGCAGCAGGAAGGACGGGCACTCCTGCTTCAGACGGGCATGAGAGTACACCGAATGAGCACAGCGCTGCTGGAATGGGTGTCCAGCCTGAGAAACAAGCATGCAACTCATCAACTTTCTCACAAACAGATCTGAGACTAATATTAGGTATAGTAGTTTAGTAACTAAGTTCTTTTTAATTGTAATGCATTCATAAGCTTTAACAAAATTCACCACACACACACACGACACACCTAATCGCACATTATGTCACACAAACACACATTCACCTGTATCCATTCCCTCTCTAGCAGGCAGAGGAAGCCAGTGACAGTTCTAGAGGCAGGGTCTAGTATAAGCTGAGCCAATGAGCTCACCAGCAGCGTGTTGTCTGTCCCTTCAGAGCCATGCACAAGCACAGAGTGACCATCCCTGCAAAAAACAGACCACAGACCAGAGCAATACATCTCAAACCCATGCATGGGCCTGCAGTGACCACCCTTCAAAAACAGACGGCACGCCAGAAAAATACATCTCAAACCCATGCGTAAGCACAGGGTGAAAAAAAGCCTAAACCAGTACATCTGAGAGTAATGCGGTAGAACTAATATTTGCATCTCAGTTTCCATAAAAATATTAATCAGCACAACTGTTCTCAATGTTGATAATAATAATAAATGTTTCTTGAGCAACAAATAAGCATATTACAATGATTTCTGAAAATTCAGCTTTGCCATCACAAGAATAAATTATATTTTAAATTGTATTAAAAAATAAGAGTTATTTTAAATTGTAATAATATTACAGTTTTTTACTCTATTTTTGATCAAATATACAGTAGACTTTGTGAGCATAAGAGACTTCTTTCAAAAACCTTGTAAAATCATACTAACCCTAAACTTTAGAACTGTAGTGTATACACTGTAAATGTAATATAAAGAAAATGTAAGTATATCAACCAGAAGGCATTTAAGAAAGCTAAAACAATTGTTGAAATCAGTTAAAGACTATCCTACATTATTAAATTATTCAGTGACTTTTGAAGAATGCTAAACCAAATTTGAATAGAAACTATTTCAGAGATATGCTGGTCAACCAAAACAGACATAAAAAGCATCACAACATACAATACATAAAATGTATTGATCTGTTAGTCACACAAAGCAATGAACAAAATAATAGAACAGAGAATGTAAATAACAAACCACAATTAAAGTGCAATGTAGATGTTTTGCCATGAATGTTTCATTAGAAATTATTTAAGCAAGAACATTGAAATATGTGTCAACCGTGTTCTTGCCTTATTCTGTCTGAGTCACTACAGAAAGCCTACTACACTAAAACTGCAACTTTATGTATGAACCACAGATGGCGACAGACAGCCCATGAATTTCGTGGTGCACCTTTAAAAGACCAAAGTAAAAGATCTTCCCACCTCTCCACACACTCTACCACCAGGCCTGCAGTGGACAGCGCACTGTGAACATGAGAAAGCCATTTGGAGTTCTCCAATTTACTGAGCCAGCGGTCCACAGTATGCGACGGGTCACTGCACACTTCCACCAACTTAATAAGACTCTCCTGCACAACCTTACCCCTGTAAATGACACAATTACATGCTAAATGGCTTTCAAATTCAGATGGGTCACATATTTTCACACTATTAAAATGACTAATGTTCCCTCTCACCTTTCATGGTGTCTATGGATTCTTTTCCAGTGGCTATAACAGGATTTAGACTCAAAACCTCCTCCTGTCATGCGGGCCTGCTGGGCTTGCTGGGCAGAACGCAGATCGATAATGTAACCCAACTCTGACCCATCAATCACAGCCTGGAGAAGGAGCTCATCCTCCTTACATCTCTTCTTATTGGCTCCTGTCAAAGGCTGGCTGCTTCGCATGATCACCTCGGCAATGGATACAAATAACTTTTACTTGGGACCTTTTGACCTATATTATGTATTTTTGGCTTTGATGAGAAATGTAGTTCTTATACAATATATGGTTACATACACGTATATTTGAGATATAAGAAAACATCCTACACTCACCATTCCATTCCTATGGTGACAATAGGAGAGCACAGGAAATCTGCCCCCCTGTCTGAATCTGGCTGAGCGGATCAGCTTGTCATCATCCACCTCACGAGGTACAATGACCGCAGATGGATACGATGGGCATACAGAGTAATCTGAGTTTACTTTACTGACTCTCCACCTGTCCCACTACTCACACACACACACACACGTTTGTTTCTGTGAATTGTGGGGACTTTTCATAGACTTCTATTACTTTTATACTGATCAAACAATATTTTTTTATTCCCTAACCCAACCATAACCCTACACCTACCCATTACAGAAAACATGTTTGCATTGTTACACTTTCAGATAAACATCATTTACTATTTTTAATAATTTTTTCCCCCTCGTCAATGTCAAAAATTTCAGGTTTTACTATCCTTGTGGGGACATTTGGTCCCCACAATGTAGCATAGACAAGTACACACAGATGCACACACACACATATTATGAACACGCACAAACATGCATATGTATACACTTATACATAAGTTATAAATATACATTATTATTAATTAATAAATACAAAACAATCTAGAAAAACTAGAAAAGAAAACTAAATTAAACCTAAACAGTAATATTTAAAAACTAATCAAAATGACATATAAAATTAATATAAATATAAAACAATAACTTTATATAAAATAGACACTATAAAACGGAAAAAAAGAGTAACAAAAACACTGTAAATATGATACAAATATGATGTTGTGCCATAGACAGAATGTCAGTGGCTAAAGATAAACATCTACAACTATGGAAAAAAAATGACAGGCTGTGAAACAGCTGCTAGATGACAATGGGTGATAATGAACGCTATGGAGACAAACAAGGCAAAGAAAAGTAGACACAAAAGCTGCATATGCGTGAAAAACTAGTAACAGAAAGAATAGACATTGCTTTATTTCCTGTGCATTTAAGTGTTGCCCGTGTCTCACAACTGTTTTTTGTTTCCTGTGGCAAACAAAGTGCTTCCTGTTTGTCTTTCTTCCAGAAAATGAACAAGCCATGAGCGTAAAGCTAGCAGAGAGACAATGAGATAAATTGCAGTGGTATGACTGAGCTCTAAATTGAACTAATATAGAATGTAAGCTAACAGTCTCTCTTTTTGTCTCTCCATACTTGGATGTTAGATTACAAACACAAATATATATATATAACACTTCATGTTCATAAACACTGTTGCTTTGCATGTATTGAAAACACAAAAAAGCATGTCAGAGAGATATGATATGTTGCGTAAATGCTCATTGCAAAGCACGAATATCTTGCAAAATACTCTTCCTAAATATTAGCCATATTATTAATTACTAATCCTTGTATCAAGCATGGCTAGTGATAACTATATTTAGTACCTCTATAGAACTGGCTATGTTCAGACATTCCTCCATTCCAGGAATTTCCAACTGAAGAACCAGCAGGTCCTTACATTTAATGGTGATAGTACCAGAGGATCCCACAGCCCTGTATCAGACACATGTACAACACCCCCACACATTTAAGTTAATTCCTCCATGTTTTCTCACACTCTCAAATTCCATACAATCATCTCCATTGGGGCCTCAGAAGAGACGGAAGCAGGAAGCAAAAACAAGCCATGAGCGTAAAGCTAGCAGAGAGACAATGAGATAAATTGCAGTGGTATGACTGAGCTCTAAATTGAACTAATATAGAATGTAACAAGAATGTATAGAAGCTAACAGTCTCTCTTTTTGTCTCTCCATATTTGGATGTTAGATTACAAACACAAATATATATTATATATATAACACTTCATGTTCATAAACACTGTTGCTTTGCATGTATTGAAAACACAAAAAAGCATGTCAGAGAGATATGATATGTTGCGTAAATGCTCATTGCAAAGCACGAATATCTTTCTATATTTTTCTGTTTTTCTCTCTGCCATAAGCTAAGAACATGTTGCCAGCACAGCTCATTTTGAAAGATGCCTTCTTATTCTGACATAACATGCTGCCCGCCACATTTCTCTCCTCATTTTTATAATTACTGTATAAATTAACAGCAGATCCCAGATCAGAATAAAATGACAGCTTCAATGAGTAATACAAGTCAAACATTGGGCCTGCTTTAGAAGTGTACCTGGGGTATCCGAAAAGATTCTCGACACTGACATGCAGGAAAAGTGATTGGTGGAATTAGAGAAAGAGAGAATTTGTTTATTATTACAGAAGCAGGTCACTTCAGGGATCAAACACATACACAATTGTGACCCAATAAGATTCAAAAACAGATGTCTGGATGAATAAGAATATGACATAAATAAGGACATGTGTCTTCATTTGCTGTAATAAAGTCCTGAATATGTTTCACCAGTGATCAACAATATACACATCCATAAAAAAATCCTTCTGAAACAAATCTTGATATGGTAAAATCTAAATTAATAGATTTTCTTTAAGTCAGAGATATTATTCAACACCACTGAATCAAATTAAATATTTGGTAACATGAACAAAACTAAGTTTTAGATCAGATATAAATAGCTCTGTAGAGCAATAAATTGTAAAATATTTAAAATGTAATTTAAGATGGTCTTAATTGGTTTAATGCTGGAAGACCATCTTAAACCAGATAAAACCAACAAAACATAAGGCTGGTTTATGATATTTTTCCATCACCAGGCTATAATTACCGTCGCCTAGTTTTACAGCACACACATGCACTGGTCAAACCTGGACTCCAGCTGATGAGAACAGCTGTCTCATACCTTTTCTCAATGGCATCGATGTTCTTGATGAGAATGAGAAGTTGCCGGGAAGCTTCATCCTTTCTGTCTGAGAACAGAAGGTGGTGGCTGGTAACGCACAGAGTTCCTCTGAGCGCTGGATGGAAAGGTCTTCTCAGGGTAACAGCTTCAACATTAGCGGTCTTGATGTGCTCCGACAGCTCCATTTCACAACGACAACAACCACCAACTGCTACTTCTCACGCTGAGTTTAGAGAGCTGGTGGGCGAGCCACACGTGTCTCTGTCTTCCGCTAATCCTCTACAGAACTGTGTTTTGTAACTTATAAACGTATAAAACTCACCAGTAGCTGGCAAATATAAAACGCCACTAAGCGACTGTGCGCGAGCGACGGGAGGTGTGCCTGCTCGCGCGACTCATAAGCATTTTGTTGCCTTCTTTATACTTTCGTTTCCGTCCACACTCTTGAAGTCCCAGCCCTCTTCTCTTTTTTGTGATGTTTGTGTTTATTGTTGTTGCTTTTTCGTATTGTTTGTCGCAGTCTTCCTGACATTAGGGTAAGAATTAGTCTGCTTTAGACAAATAAAGAAAAAAAATCTTATTTTTTTCTATTCTTTCTATTCTTCTATTATTTTTTCCCCCCCAAATCAATTATATATTCGTTTTACATTTAATAATGAAAGATGCCACACACCCTCAAATATACTGTGTTTTGTAACTTATAAACGTATAAAACTCACCAGTAGCTGGCAAATATAAAACGCCACTAAGCGACTGTGCGCGAGCGACGGGAGGTGTGCCTGCTCGCGCGACTCATAAGCATTTTGTTGCCTTCTTTATACTTTCGTTTCCGTCCACACTCTTGAAGTCCCAGCCCTCTTCTCTTTTTTGTGATGTTTGTGTTTATTGTTGTTGCTTTTTCGTATTGTTTGTCGCAGTCTTCCTGACATTAGGGTAAGAATTAGTCTGCTTTAGACAAATAAAGAAAAAAAATCTTATTTTTTTCTATTCTTTCTATTCTTCTATTATTTTTTTCCCCCCAAATCAATTATATATTCGTTTTACATTTAATAATGAAAGATGCCACACACCCTCAAATATAAAAAAATACCCTTGCGAGGGACCTCGTCTGTAATATATAAGCATACAGGCAGCATTTCCATGTAAACATCAATTTATACTGTAAAATTTGTTATATATATATATACAGGTATATATATATTCACACTACAGTATATAGATAAAGCTTCATCCACATATATACACACACACATTTTCTTTCTTTCCTTCTTTCATCACAAAACCAGTCATAAGTAGTATGGGCATATTTTGTTTGGGTCAAAATTATCGATTTTTCTTTTATGCCAAAATCATTAGGATATTATAAAGATCATGTTCCATGAAGATATTTTGGACATTTCCTACCGTAAATTTATCAAAACTCAATGCACCTTCATTGAGTTTGCACCCTCAAATTCCAGATATTCAAAAAGTTATATCTCAGCCAACTATTGCCCTATAATTATTAAAAGCTTATTTATTCAGCTTTCAGATGATGTATAAATCTCAATTTTAAAAAAAATTTACCCTTATGACTGGTTTTGTGGTTCCTGCAAAACAGAAAAGTTCAAGTTCTTTAAAGTATGTTCATTTATGCACTCAGTACTTGGTCGGGGCTCCTTTAGCACAAACTCCAGCATCAGTAATGTGTGGCATGAAGCGATCAGCCTGTGGCACTGCTGAGGCATATTGAGCCTTCAGCTCGTCTGTATGTGTTACGGAGCCGACGAGACGAGAGGATCCATACGCAAGCTTTTATTAATAAACATGGTCAAAAAACACAGGCAGGGTCAAACAACAGCAAACAAGTATGGTAAGACAAAAGAGCAATCCAAAACAGGCTTGAGTCAAACGACAGCAAACGTTATCCAGAGGGCTTGGCGAGAGGTAATCCGTAAACGTGAGCAATAGTCCAGGCGAGGGGCAAACACAGTCCGAAACAGCAAGGCAAAAGGTAAATCCAAGATATGCGGGCAAGAATCAGAAACCAGGAAATCAGAAAACAAAACGAGACCAGACTAGACTAAGACTAAAACTAGGAACTGAGACTAGGAACTAAGACAGGGAAATGGCTCCGTAAAGTGCTATCACTTGGAGAGCGATAAAGCAAACAATACTCAGCGACTTGAGCAGGATCTGAGTGGGTTTTATATAGTGTGTGTAATAGCTTTCAGATGAGCATGTGATTGGTTACAGCTGTGTGCAATCAGTGCAATGGATGATGGGAAATGCAGTCCAGAGGCACGTGCCCCCTCAGATTTCTGAGCCAAGTGCATTTTGAATGCAGCTTCCAAAAGACAAAAATGACCGAATAATTCAATAAATATTTTTTTATATTTGATACAATCACACCGGTGTGATTAGGTCGTTCAGTGCGGCACAGCATCAGCTGCTAAATTCAAATTTGTGTTCGCTGGCTGGCGCTGAGCCAGATGCGTTTTTACAGTGCTGTGCATTATAACCAATCACACACGATTCTGTTGAGCTTATGAATGCAATGACCAATCAGAGACGTTCAAATTAGCCATCGCTGAAACGCGGTGTTTTGCTCCCATCAGAAACAACAAAGTGCAGATGTAGGCTACGTACGAATGTAGGCCTAAGTAAGAGATTCATTTCACAATGTAAACAGCTTCAGTGACTTTAATGGGAGTTTTTGAGAGTGTCTGTGGCTAGACTGAATGAAAATGTTCTTTGATAATGTAAATGTTCTTTGCTCTCTGTAATATGAAAGTGTTATAATTAGTAATTTACAATATTGTTATTAAATTCACATTAAATAACCTACAAAGTCAGTCGTATTAAAAATATTTTATGGCATGACACCCATATCTGGTACTTAAGTAAAGGTTTTTATGTGTAGTTAATAGATTACACTATTAGTCTAATTTGCCCATCACCATTGATCAAATAACATAATCTATAAAGGTGCGAAACGCATTTACTTACACATATTTGAGAATCGAGAGATTTCCAGATATAGGCTAGTTAACACGTTTGGAAATATTTCGAATAAAAAAATAAAAATAAAACATAAGCCTATATCAGTTATACAGTGCTATATAGCTGCTGTGTGTCACATGACAAGCATGCGTTATGATGCGTTATGATGATGTATCATACATAGGCAGTTGCCTAGGGCGCAAAATGACTGTCTTCTGGACCATTGCCAAGTCAGCAGTCTTCCCCATTATTGTAATTTCAAAGAACAAGAGATACCCGGAATTTATACTGTAGGGATGAATTTTTTGAGATGCACCTAGACTATATATATATATATATATATATATATATATATATATATATTAGGGTTGTCAGTTTAACTAACTTAACTTACATTTAATTAATTAGTTAGGGTTAGGGTTAAAAATAACGCGATTAAAATATTTTAACGCAGTTAACGTACTGGCCCCGCCCCCAGACCTGTACATCATCTTATATTTCATACAGTTGACTGTTGACAAATATGATGCAGGGAAACAACTCCATAAACGCAGTTATGCCCTACAATTCAAGATATTGGTGCTAAAAATGCCCCTGTACGAGTTTTTGTCTCATATTTATATAATATGATAAGCGATATCAAAAGAGCAGCGAGTATCACGAAGAACACGATTGCAAATGTGATTTTATACAACAGTTAAGTAGCCTAAATAAGAAGTTAATATTGTGTTATATTTTAAATACAATATTGTGTGTTTTTGTTCAATTTTGTCAAGGACAATATTACCTATAATAAAGCCACAGCAGAACTGTTGTGCGTCTGTGAGCAACACAGCGGTTTAGTTTTTGAATCAATCCGCGTTTCGAACGAATCATGTGAACCAATGATTCAAATGTCCATTCTCGAAAGCCGTTTACTGAATTCCTGAATGAATCAGCCGTTTGAACGAATCAGTTCGATTTACTGCCACCTGCTGGTAGTTTTCGTTTCTTCTTTAGAGTATAATTTCATAAAAAAAAACATTAAAGGGATGGTTCACCAAAAATAAATAAATAAATAAATTCTGTCATCATTTACTTACCCTCATGTTGTTTTAAACCTGAATGACTTACTTTCTTTTGCGCTACATAAAATAAGTTATTTTGAAGACTGTTGGTAACAAAGCTAGTCACCAGTGACTTTCATTGCATGAACAAAAAAAGAGTTTCTCAAATTATCTTCTTTTATGTTCCATAGTTTATGTTAGGCCATTGTAGCCTAAACATTTAACACAATAATAGCTTTAAATGATCTTTTGGGGGTATTTTCACAGCCAAATTTGGTTTGTTATTTAGTTTAGTTATTAGATTATATATATATTGATTTTTACCTTCAGTAGAATGAAATCACTTTTTATTATCAAACGTTATTATTATGATGATTATTATATGTTAATAATATTTTAAATATTACTTTTATAAATATCCTTTTTTTCACATCTACACAATGTTTCTCTGACCTTTTGCGAGGACCCCCATAGCACCCCCTTGCGGATCTCTGGGGTCCCTGGACCCTAGTTTGAAAACCGATGTATAGGCCTACCGTTCGTTTTAGAATAACACACCATTTATGACTTACTGATTCTGATTGTATTCCTAGCTAAATACATTTTCACTGCAATTTCTTAACATTAGCAGGAGATGGAGACATTCTGTTGTAAAACAGTTCCAAAGACTCAAGTTGAATATTACTGGTGCATATAATGTATTATGTGCAGATATGCACAACGACGATGTTGACTGCTACATACAAGTTGTAATGTAAGTTAATATAAGTTAATTTTAAAATGAAGTCTGGTTTTTAGCCAAATAAAATAAAGTAATTCAGGTAACACGATAGGAATACATAGATATCCGTGTGAGGGACCTACTTTTAAATAAATAGGCCTACAGGCAGTCCTTTTAATGTATGAAGATTCATTTGAAAAATATAATATCTGGAAAAGATGTAGGCTACTAGTACTTTCTATTAAGTTTCTCTTTTTTGCTTTTTATCTTTCATTAGAATTAAACAATCTTTGATTATCAAACTATATTATTATTATTATTATTATTATTATTACAGCTAATAGTAATAATAATAATTATTATTATTATTTTACTTTTCTAAATATTTTTATATATATTTTTTACACAATTTTTCTCTTTTACTTTTTCAAGGACCCCTTTTGCGGTTCTCTGGTTGGTCCCGGTTTAAAAAATCACTAATTTGCCTAGCGTTTGTTTCAGAATAAATATATATTATTAATATCTTTCTGATTCCAATTCTGGATTTTAGATTATTACTGCAATTCCTCAACATCAGCAGGAGATGGAGACACTCTGTCGTTAAACAGTTGACAAATATTTACTTTGGATTATTATTGGTGAGATCTCGCTGAGCTAGAAGCAGTGTGAAGAGTTTTGGGCCACAATATACATAAATTAAATGTTTACTTGTCATTCCTGGGTTAGCTGCCTTTGTGATAACAAATAGTTTGATAAAAAAAAAACTGTCTGTCCTGAAACTTCTCAAGGTGGTTTTGAGCGCATGTGAGGTTAAGGGTGTCAGTGACCCTGTACCACTTGAATAGTTCCACATGAACACGAAATGTCGCGTTTGGCCGCAACATGCAAGTTCAGACTGTCTAAAAACACTGATAGTTTGTCATTAGGCTGCAGAGCATGGGCGGTCACTTTTCTGTCTATATAAGCATTTAGCACAGCACACCTCTTGAGATTAATCACTCTTGCACATGTCTGAGCATTCACAGTCTCGCCTATCTGGAATGAAAGCAGCTCAGTGATGGAGTTCAGAGAGCTGGGAGCAGACGAGAGCTCTGAGGGCGATATGGAGGATCTGGATAATGTAAAAGCCCTGACAGAGAAGCTCAAACTCCAAACGCGCAGACCGTCGTACCTAGAATGGAAAGAGCGACTGCAGGCTCGCCCGTGGACTGATGCCACACACGGTTCAAATGTCAGCAGCCCAGGATCTGTGGAGAAGGACACTCAGCTATCCGACATCTGGAAAGATGGGATGCCTTATAAGAATATCTGCGGCTTTGATACTATAGACGACGCGTTAGAGTGGCTCAGAAACGAACTGGTATTGCATTCATAAGCTTTATGTTTTATTTTTATTTAAACTTTAGAAATGATCATTGTGTATTATCTATCTATCTATCTATCTATCTATCTATCTATCTATCTATCTATCTGTCTGTCTGTCTGTCTGTCTGTCTTATAATATTTCTATTAAACGAACTGGTATTGCATTCATAAGCTTTATGTTTTATTTTTATTTAAACTTTAGAAATGATATTATCTTATTATCTATCTATCTATCTATCTATCTATCTATCTATCTATCTATCTGTCTATCTGTCTATCTGTCTGTCTGTCTGTCTGTCTGTCTTATAAATAATTTCTATTTCAAGTAAATGCTGTTCTTTTGAACTCTCTATTCACCAGAGAATCCTGAAAAATGTATCACGGTTTCCACAAAAATATTAAGACAAATATGAAACTGAAGACTGGAGAAATAGCTACTGAAAATTTTTCTTTGCCACTACAGGAATAAATTACATTTTAAAATATATCAAATAGAAAACAGTTATTTAAAAAAATAATTTAAATATTGTTTTTGATATTTTTGGTAAAATAAATGAAACACTAGTGAGCATAAGAGACTTCTTTCAAAAACATTTTAAAAATCTTATCCAACCCAAATTTTGAACAGTATATCTTTATTAAATGATATAAAATATGTAAATAATACACTGCATATAGCCTACTATAAATACTAATACATAGTACAACACAGGTGGCATGACTCTCGTCTCTTGGCATATTGCACCTAAATGCCACACAGGTGCAGAAACTTGAGTGGGTGTTTGACAGAAAGGTGTGCTCAGTTCCCTGCATGTGTGACTTCTGTCCCAGACAATTTAATCTTATAATTACTGCTGGTTATCAAAGACTTGATGTGTGAGCTATAAAATGGTTCTCCCGCTCTCTTTCTCATCGCTCCTCAGAGGGAGATGCAAATGCAGGATAACCGTCTCGCACGGCAGTTGATTCGCTTACGGGGGGAGATCCACAGGGTGAAGGTGGAGCAGGTGTGTCACCGTCACAAAGAGATGCTGGATGATGCCACGTATGAGCTGGAGGAGTGTGAGGAGGACTCGGACCTGCTGTGTGACATCCCCATGAAAGCCACCTTCACTCTTTCCACCCCTCTCAAACATCTTGGTCTCACCAAGATGAACCTCAACTCCAGACGATTCTCACTCTGTTGAGAGGCACGGCGAGGAGAGATGTCCCTCAAGAAAACTCAATGCACAGCTCTTACTGACACTGGAAGCCAAAGATTTATTTCATTTCAGTGTTAAAATTGGACTATTGAAAAAAAAAAACCACTAAGTTTTATTCAAATCACTAAGCTTTAGTGAACTTTGATTTAACCACAAGTGGTCATATCTGAAAATGCAGTAACCAGCACTACAGTCTATAGTATACAACTATTAAACCACTTGTGAATGCGGACTCACCTCAGGTCTGAGAAAGTCCCCATGCACAGTTGAAAAAAAGTTTATATTTACTTTTGAAAATATCTTAACTGATCTGAGAATCAGGAGGAACCTGCTTCTGTGTCAAAAGGCGTGTGATTGGCACACACTCCCATGAGCGTTCCTGAATGCTCAGAGGAGGAAACACTCTCCCGTCGGTTTGGCTGTGATCCCGAGCAGCAGCCTCACGGGAAGTGTGAGTTTATGTTCAGGCATTTTGTCACCTTGTCTCTTAAAACCTTAAAATAACCCCCACTCTACAGCTCAGAGCTACAACAACTGAAAAGCTAATCTCAGTCTCTGTTCTGTTCAGCCCACTGTCGGTGGTTGGTCTTAAATAAGTTGAGGGTACGTTTTTGAGAATCTTGTGCTTGGGAAATTTGTATTCACAGGTCAAAAGATTTTTATGAGTTTTTATTGCCTCCTTTGTATGTCTACAGAATCCATTCAAGTTTAGTTTACTTTATTACAAGCACTGGAAATTTAGCACTGCATTTGTGCATGGATACTGTAAGTGCTTATATCAAAAGCTCCATGATAAAATTACAACATATCAAAAAGGACCTTTATAATTTGACAAATTTCATCTTAGGACTAAATGAGTGTTACCAATTTTTAATAGATTTTATATATATGAAATGTTCAGCAAGGATGCATTAAAAGATTTTTACATTGTTTAAAAAAAAAAGAAGGATCATGAGACATTAAATACTGGAGTAATGGCTGAAAATTCAGTTTTGCCTTCACAGGAATAAATTACATTTTAAAATATAATAAAATAGACTTATAAATAAAATAAAAATAACTTTTAAATTTGTTGTAATATTTCACAATATTACAGTTTTAAACAGCTGTATTTTTGATCAAGTAAATGCAGGCTTTGTGATCATATAAGACTTCTTTCAAAAACATCACAAGCAATTTTACAGAACCCAAACTTTTTAACGGTAGTGTATATATAATGATTTTTTAATTAATAAAATGTTTGATGTACAAATGTTTAAGTGCACTGTTAAGGGTATAAGACTTCCTTTTGCTAAAGTCGAACACAACGACTGACTTTATTCGCACAGGACTAAAAATGCCTTAAATTTGCCTTAAATTAATAAAATGCCTTAAAGTTGTTTTGAAGATATATTGTGATTGATATTGTAATTAAGAAAGGAGAAAAAACATTGCTCATTCACTGTAACTCATTCACTTATAATAAAAATGTATGAACCTTTTTAACATTGTTGCTTTAAATTTGTAAATAAATGTTATTTTAAATTTTTATATTTGTAAATACAAGTATTAGTATTATTTTCCTGTCAATCAAAATTTCTTAATAGTATTGTTGATTCATGTATTTGTATAATTATCCAAACTGTTTTGAGCAGCTCTTATCTCGCTTTGCTCAGATTCTTCCATCTTGCACATCCTGACATGAATATACCCAGAGGGTTTTTTATGCAGTGTTATCACACGAATGAAAAAATAGTTGATATTTATCAGAATAGGCTGCATTTACCAGTATGAGTCAAACAATGGACCAGTTGCTTTATTGATTGTAACTGCAGTGACGGCACTGACTGACAAAAGGAGCATGTGACACATGCCAAGAAATGATCTCATGCTAGATAAATATATGGAGGGAGAGAGAAAGAGTGAGAGACATTGACAAGGAAAGCCATCTTTCCTAAAGCTGTTCTCAACACTGATATTACAAGCTTTTGTAGTTTACATCTCGTAAAGCCAGTGGCATTTGGGCAAGTACCTTCAATGAACAGTTCACGAGGGCTGCTTTAGATTCCTTCTTCAAACAGAAACATGAACTATTTAGGTCACCTGAGAAGACACAAAAGGTGTTTAGTTGTGTTCCAGATACAGATTCCCTCGAGGCCTAGAAAAGAAAACAAACACTGTGCCATGAAAGTGTAATTCTGCTTTGTAGAGCTTAAATGAAACCATCATGATAACCTACTTTGAACTCGAGTGCAAATGTGATAAAGGAAAAATGTTTTCTTCATTCAGTGTTTTCACTGAACATTAAATTATTCATCAATTTATTTGACATGAATTTAAAATGTCATGAAATCTCAAAAAATGGATGAAAAAACATCTACGCTATTTTCCTGGAAATAATTTGGTTGATATAAAGCTCAACAATCCTGCTATATAAACGGCTTTCACTAGTTTTAACACCAAGGACTTTTTCAAAAAAAATTTTGGCATGGATTCACAATCTCAAAGCATTAAATGAACATTTGCTCTCACAAGAGATGTAACTGTGAATATATAACTGTCTGTTAAGATGATCTGCCCCACTCAACATCCCCTCTCCCTCAAACCCCCCTCCTCTCAACCACAAGACCCCCAAGGAATGGAAAAAAACAAGCCATTGTTTCAGGCACTCCCTCAAACTTACAGCTACAAACAAAACTAGAAATCCAGCCAGGATACGACTTTAGCAAAAATCACCCTTATGTGGTCCATCATGCGAGGGGATCTGATTGAGTAATAGAATTATTTGTTTTCACCATTTAACCCCCTTCCCCCACCTCCAAACCACAACGAAACACCCATTTCTGCTGTGATCACCGGACTCACCACATGAAAAGCCCGGTCAGAAGTTTCAGTCACGTAGGACGACACAAATCAAAATAAATACAAATGCCACAGCAGGCTTAGGCATAAGTGTCTAAATTAAGATGAGTGTTCCTGCAGTAGAAAACTTAAGAATGTACCTCCTTTGAATGTTTGGGCTGTGACTTCCTGCAAGAGCATGTACTATTTGCAGACTGATGCCACAACAAAAGTGTGTGGTCTGCTCAGAGAGAATGAGAAACAGAGAGAGACAGAAAGGTTTTAAGAAACAGATGAGCGTCATATCGTAGCTAGTTAAAAAAGGTCAAATTTACCTCAAAAAATATTTGTTGCATATTAGTTTTCTTTTCTAGTGTGCACATGCATATCCACACGTATGTATTAGTTAAACAGTTCTGCTAGAGAGGCCTACTTTCTAACAGAGCATTAACATTCGGTTTAATGTAAACTAGAGGCCTAAATGTTCACAAATACTTCATGGAATAACAATGTGTGTAACACTTTTATGCTTGAACATTTAAATGTAAAGTTTCGTGGCTCTTTTTAGTACAAATACAAGCCAAAAACCCATGAATGCCGTTAAAGTTTCCGCTCTTTGACATCATGGCACCACAAAAGCAGGTGACAAGTGGAGTCCTGACCCAGAATCCTTCACTCCAATGACACCAGCTGCTCAGAGCAGTGTGCACCTGCTGAAAAATGTTAAATATCAGCTCAAACACCTCAACGACAGGAAGCTCTATCATCAGCTTGCTCTGCACCACTGTGGTGTGTGTGCGTGTGTGAGTGATGCCTTTGCAAATGATGTGCCTTTGTTAAGGTGGGAAGTCAGACTGTGACGTGACTTACACAGCCTTACACACTTTAGGAGCTTGTGTCTTCGATACACGCCGAAGCTTTACAGATCTTGTCGGTTTGTCTGTAATCTTGGTTTTGTTGCTCTGTGGCAAAATGTGTTCTTCATAAAATCTAAAGCTAAAGACATTACAATGCTTGCTGAACTGGCCCATCACTAACATCAGCAACTTCTGTCAACAGAAAAGGTAAGTTTTACCAAATGGGATCTAATTTTGTTTAGATTTAAAACAAGGCCAAAATTAGTTTTAATGAGTACAGGTTATCAGGCCGGTAAAAGTATTCTCAGACAGACTTTTTAAAATCACTAAGTGATTTATTGGATGAAATTTTACGAGCGAAAACTAAAGCCTGAGACCGTCTGAGATGGAGCAGAGGAAACTATTTCAAAAATTATTATCAACCAATTATTAAAAAAAAGAAAAGATATCAAAAAGAGCTTCAAACTGAGCTGAGAATATTTGCTAAATAGAAAAAAAATTAAGGCTTTCACTTACTTAAAAAAAGATTCAGCAAATTATGTACATTTATAATACAGGCATAACATCTTTCAATTCTGACGTAGTAAAGCAGAAGTGAGAGTGTGTTTGGTTTAAAATTATATCTATAAATGTATGCGCTGTTTAAATTAAAATTTCTAGAACGTTATTACACTTTTGGCTCTTTAGCGTTAAAAATTCATTATATTTTAATGTAACTTGCAAAGTAATTCACAAAGGAAATATGATAATATCATGTATATCATCACTGCATGTGTTGTATCGTATTACACCTCAAGGTCAGTCAATAACAATTTCATGCTTTTAAATTGAAATTGTGATTCAGTCACTAAGGGAGTTTTTTGGATTACGTTTCGCCACTGCATTTGAATATTAAATCAGTAACATTTTTCATCTCCAGTTATAGAAAAGTACTCAAAAATTAACACAGGTTAATTTTTTATTTTTTTTTAAAGGGGTATTTCATAAATATTAGGTCGGAAAATCCCTGCGTTCTTATTAAATACTGCCTTCTTGCTAGCTAGGCTGCCACTTTCATTTTTTTAACAATCATTCTTTTATGTTTATTCCAAATTCCAAATCAAACTATCATGATGTATGTGTTAAGATCTTTATTTATTTATTTGGGAAGGTATCAGTCATAAATAGGAATTTTTCTAAACATTCTAAACTGGTGTTATAAGATAACGTAAAACACAACAGCTCGGTATATAATAGGCCTACGGACAATCAAATCTAAATTTGTATTTTTTGGCATAGATTTGACTGTTTGGTATGAATTAGTCAAGTTTTTCTCTCATGTCTCAACCTTTTGACTTCTGTTTGCTCTCAAACATAATGTTGATTTAATGATATATATAAAAAAACTTGTGATTGTGTCGGAAGGCATTTGATCTGTTTAGCTTCATTTCAAACCTATACAAACACATCCTCTGTAACAGGAGAAACTGGAGGCCTGAATGAGCACAAAGCCATCTGTCATCATTTACTCACCCTCATTTCATTCCAAACCTGTATAACACAAAAGATATTTTGAAAAATGTGACTTAGTGTTTTTTGTCCATATAGTGAAAGAGAAAGGAACACCTGTGTCACAAAAACATTAACTATGCTTCGTACTTCAGAAAGCAATCTTAACCCAAAACATTTGACCTCGGCGTGTATCTCTCGAGACTCATTTGCATTGATACTGGTAGGGTCAGGTACAGGCCGCAGGTCAGTGGAAAGTCTTGTCTCCTGATTTGATTTGGGCTGTTCTCCCAAACTGTCCCATGAGCACAGAGACATACAGATTGAGTTAGCCCATTATTTATCTGCTTAATGGAAATGAAAATGCTTCTGGGCTTTTGTGTTTACATATTTACATTTGAACAAAAGTACAGTTCATCCTTCCATACAAACACTTATGCACAGGGATTTTTTCATGAACTTTCCAGATTCATAACGCAAAACACACCATGCTCAAGACAAATGTAAAACACACACACACACACATGCATACGGATCACTGTAATCCAAATCCCTTCGTTTATTCAAAAAACTGTCTGAAACTCAGTGTTTGAGTTGGAAAGAGTGTGTCTAGAATTCATAAAGAGGATTAACCTCCTTTACAGATCTGGTCCAGAACTGTTTTTTTTTTTTAAACAGACAGAACTGTTTGTCCAACCCTATGGACACATAGGCCTATTAAATGTTAGGCCTAAATATAAAATTAATGTTTGTGGCTCTTTTTCTCTGATATATCAGGAAATAATTAATCCAGTGTGAGCAGTCTTACACAGAATGTTCAGTTCAACTACTACAGTCATAAAACTCAAAGAGAATACATGTCAAATAGTCACAAATATATACACGCCATAACATATTTATTGTAAATGTAAATGAATTCATTGGTTAATTTAGCCACTGCTTCAAACTTTTTTTATTCGTCAGGAGCTAGATCGCTTGCACTTATTGATGAACTGATGAATATATACTTGGAGATGCTTACAGTTGTCACTGTAGTTCTAATAATTATGTCACTGTATTTCTCTCATGTTTAGCAAATATGGGGAACTGTGGCTCTTTTGATCCTGATGACGAATTCTCCTACCATCCAGATGAATGGTGCGATCAATGTAACTGCCCAAAGCCTCCAGGCAGTCAGGTATACGTCTATGTGTTTATGTATTGTATGCGTCTGCTGAAGAGAATGTTAGCTACACTTAACACTTCTTTTTACCTTCTACATTCAAGTATATCACAGCGTAAAATCAGTAACCACAAAGTTAGATAAGTTATGGTGAGCTAAACAGACGCTTGTGAAAAGAAATTGCTTTATCAGGCAAGTATCCATAGCAACCATGTAGGCTGCTCGAGCGTTTAGTATCCGAATCAAAGTGAATAGAAATAGGCTAAGTATCGGAAGGTATGCGATAAAGCATACTGAAGTAAATACTTTACTTTTTTTCAATTTTAAATATATATAAAACATATTTAAGTCTCCCAAACAGTTAGCTAGCTGTGCAAGAGTGGTTACAAGAGATTTAGGTTTAAGAACTAACTAAGATATTTTGCTCAACAAAAAATCCAGTAGAAACCCCCATGAGAAGTCATTGAATAATTCACATAATGAGTAGAAAATTGTAGCCTATTTCTACATTAGAAAAGTAACAGTGAGTTTTTTTTTTTCTTTTTTGATATATCATACGATTTCAGAATTTTGAGACAGTTGAAAAAAGGCAGGTTGTAATGTGAGAGTAACAGAGAAGTCACAAAATATGTGGAGAGAAGAGAGAGAAAGGAAGTGGTAGAGCCATTCTCTACACTAAAGAGATGCATTAAAAATCTCTGTGGTTTATAACGCAAGACAAAACACAACAACGTCTCACAAAGTGCTACACAAAGCATTAAAAAAAAAAAAAAGATCTGCCTTGCTGAAACTGAAATGGAATATTTGTGTTTTCAGGTGAAAATCCTTAATGCTAAGCAAGACTGACAATCTCAGTATATCTTCTAAAGATGGTTGACCACTGACCCCACACTATTAAAACTGATGTGTTGAAAATAACACAACCTGTTGTATTATCTTACTCAATCGATATGTCTTTTTGTGTTAGGCCTACTTTTTAAATCAACCAGTGTATTATCTCTCTTAACACATAAAGTGTGTTTAGCTCTTTTACACGCTAATATACTACAATCACATGATTTGTGTCAGATGTGCAATTGACACTGAGAGCTTTTTTGACACTGAGAGCCCCCCCCCCCAAAAAAAATGCGATACATAAATGTTTTCAGGTGATCTCTTAATCTGAAATTGTATTTAGTTTAGTTTAATCATGTGGAAAATTATTTTTTGTATGTAATATTCTACTTGAATTCAGCTCAAATACTTATGCAAATACTTAAGTAATCATACAATTTTTTTCTGTTCATGGTCCAGTTGCATTGATGTGACTCATTCTTCAGACAGGTCAACCCACTAAGAGTTACATCATCTTAGGGAAATGAGCCTGTGTTGGTAATCAATTGGGGACTAAAACATCTAGCTAAATTTGAGACACATTTCCTTATGATTTGTTTTCATTGAAGTAGATTAGAAATTAAAGAGAACAGCACATGTTGTTTATGACATAATGAGAATGATGGCATGTTTGCTTTTACTGTGGTAGTCGTTTCATAATATAGGCTGTGAAAGAAGAAAATAAGAACAGCTCCACCCTGTTTAGGGAAGTGGCTTTGTGTGGTTTATGACATTCATAAATTATTGACACAGAATAAAGGTTTTGATGTCATGAAGAGCTTATCATGGAAATTGCTAATCATAGTCAAATAATTAAAACCAAAGTTCCTTCAGACATTTTTAATAGCTTATTTAATATTTGTGTTTTTAGAATTTTAATAATAATTGCCATAACTGTTCTGATTATAAACGTAAGCAGAATTACAGTCACTGTTTTATAGCTGTAACCATATTTTTTTATGAATGAATATTTTTTATTCATACTGGATTTTGACTGTTTTCTATCCTCTCTCACACAGAACTATGATCCTCTGATTCCTTATCCATCCCAGTACACACCTCCACCATCATCTCCTCTTCCAGGTGAGAAGACACGCTCAAAACGTCCTACAGCTATACTCTTAATGGGTGTTTCAGACTGTTCACTGTTGTCATCTGTGTATTCCAGAGAACCTGGTGGTAGCCTTATACAAATATGAGCCGTGCCACAGCGATGACCTTGGGTTTGAAAAAGGGGAGAAGCTAAAGATCCTAAATGCGTAAGCAAAGCCTACATTCAAACAGTCTGACGATCTCAGTAGATCATCAAAACATGGTTGACCACTGACTCTCACCGACTCAAGTTGGGTTTTGAGAAGCTGAATTGAACTGAATGTTAATTCAGGGTTTCTCCGTTTCAGTTTTTTGTGCAGTTTTAAGAGGAGACACTGTCATGGTTTAAACTATAATGTATGTGTCTATGTGTGTTTTAGCGATGATCCTGAATGGTTCATGGCGGAGTCTCTGTTTACCGGGCAGAGGGGATACATACCACAGAATTTTGTAGGAAAACTGAACAGCATGGAGATAGAACCGTAAGTAACACAATGATCAATTGCATTCAGAGTGCATACACTCACATATATCCAAACAAATCCACACAAGCACAATTAAATCCAAAGTTCTGGCATGAAACTCTAGATGGTGCAGTCCGATAGGTCAAACTCAATCTGACATAAGGACATCATTATCACATGGCACAGCTGATTGGTTCTTTTTGTATCAGCAGCCAGTGAGTTGCTGGAAACCCTCCACCTTCCCCAGCTCCACCTGTATAGATCTGCTACAGGGTGATTCATGTATGCTATATGGGGGTTATTTCATATATGTTATATGTGCAGCAGCATGCTCACAGCAGAATTTTGTGGATGAATTGGCAATATAGCAAGTCTCTGTATTTGATCTGCCAAAGCAACAGCAGCCACGTAGCAGATCTATTCCGCCAAGATCAAACATATTAACATTGTCATATACATTACCATGCCTCCCTCCGAGAGTTGTGATGACAGAAAAGTATTTATGCAGATCACCTGCTGTGGGTTTCTGAACAAAGAAGATCAAATCAGCTTCCCCACAATGAGATCTGGGAAATACCACCCCAAACCTGTGGCTGAAAGGTTGATTCATTTAGGATACCCCTTGCTGCTTACGACAGATGATTACAGGGTGTCAGTAATGGAAAGAATAGAAAGAAAAATACTCCCACAAATCACACAAGTTTCTGAGCATCACTACCCCAGAACCTGCTGACGCCACATTTCTGCGTATATGTTCAGGTTTAAGACTTTTGATTGTGGGAGGATCTGAACGTGGGAGTAATGAAACATCCCAACCCTGTATCTTTTAAACAACTGAAACCCCAAAATTAGATAATTAATGAGTCAAACCCCTAAGAAAATTATGATTTTGTTGTGTTGCAGGTGGTTTTTTAAAAACCTTTCCAGGAACGACGCCATGAGGCTATTACTGGCCCCCGGTAATACACAGGGCTCCTTCCTCATTAGAGAGAGTGAGACCTCACCAGGTATAAAACAATGCATTTCTCCCCACACAACAACAAAAGCAAACACAGAACCATAAGGGCACATCAGACAGTGCTATCACATTACAATACTGGCTCAGAATTGTTTGATTTTTTTTTTTTTAAGTTTGACAGTTTGACTTTTAACATTTTCTTCATGTCATTAAATGTAAAATGACTCTAAGCTCCAATCTAGAAATTCTCACTGTTATAAAGGTGGATGTATGACTGTATGTGCAATTGGCAGCCTCTGACTCTGGATTTTCCTGTTGTTCTGGTGCCTCCAGTCATTTTCATTTGTGATAACATAATATGAATCAACCCCAAAGAAATAAAGTCAACCGGATATCAAGAAGTCAAACAATGTGAAGCCAAAGAAACTTGGTGAAGGAAAACACTGTGAATTTCTCACAGATCAAATTCTTTAAAAACACCCTCAAACAAAAACATTCTGATAAGGAAATAGCAGGGTTTTCACATTGCCACTTATTTCTCAATGCTTTTATAACAACAGAAAGATTAGATTCAGACCTTAATTAAATAGTTTGGCCTCAGGAAAATCATTTTTCAGTGAATGAGATGTTGTCTATTTCAAAATCAGCCTTAAAGTGATAGCTCACCCATAAAAATTAATTTCTGTCATCATTTACTCACCCACATGTCATTCCAAAACAATATGACTTTTTGTTTTGTCTGTGGAACACAAAAGAAGATATTTTGAGTCTTGTCTCAGTGGGTTTTTTGGGGTTTTGGTACTGTTTGGTTTGCAGCATTCTTCAAAATATCTTCCTTTGTGTTCCACAGAAAAAGAGTAGTCACACAGGTTTATAACGACATGAGAAATTTAATGACAGAATTTTCATTATGGGTGAAAATAACACAAACCCTTTATTCACTCTCTGTTTATAGGGCTGTATAACAACAACCGTCGAGTGGCTATCAAGAATCTCAAGACAGGTACCATGTCCATCAGTGCTTTCCTGGCTGAGGCGAACCTGATGAAGACCCTGCAGCACCCTCGACTAGTGCGACTTTTCGCTGTGGTTACGCAGGAGCCCATTTACATCATCACTGAGTTCATGGAGAACGGTGAGACACGCAAACACACTTACACACTCATGCGAACAAGGGAGGGGAGACTTCAATAGAATGACAAAGCCTTTATGTCTAGTACTAAATGATTAATCCCTGCGTCCCACCTGAACTTCCTTTACAAAACACAGACACATTCATTGAGTAAACTTCCATTCAAACTTTCATCAGGGTTTCATGATCTAACAGGTCTGAGTAGTATCAGGACCATGAGCAGTTTTGTTTGTGTGTTAAGCCCACAGCAGTTCCTCATTTGTGTCCGCTCTATGAAAACAAAGCTTTCTCAAGGCTTTGAAGATATTGAAGGCATCTCAATACGCGTCCCTCACTCACCTGAATGATTCTCAGCAGAGAAACATCAAACACCCCTTTTACTGTGCAGGAGTATTTTTGAGGGGCAACTTTTTTAGTCTCTTTCATTGAGCGCAGTGTTTTTATATTTACAGACATGTGGTCTGTCTCTTTTACTTATACGAATGCACATCTATGAGCCTTTTTATGTTTAACTATGATTATACACGCATCTTTGTTAGCATACACCTTATTCATAAAATCAAGATTTATCAACAAAAACCACTGTTCAAAAGTTTGGGGTTCATAAGATTTTATGTTTTTTAAAAGAAAGCTTTTATGCTCACCAAGGCTGCATTCATTTAATAAAGTACAGTAAAAACAGTTACTGTATATTGTGATACAAAATAGTGGAAACATTGATAAATTTTTTCTGGATTATTTTATTAATAGAAAGTTAAAGTAACAGCATTTATTTGAAATATATATATATTTTTTGCAGCAATGTATAAATCAGTTTAATTTGATCCTTGCTAAAAAAAACTGACTGACCTCAAATGTTTAAAGGGGTCATATGATGCGATTTCAATTTTTCCTTTCTCTTTGGAGTGTTACAAGCTCTTGGTGCATAAAGAAGATCTGTAAAGTTGCAAAGACTAAAGTCTCAAATCCAAAGAGATATTCTTTATAAAAGTTAAGTCAACCACTCCTACCTAAATTGGTTCGTTCTAACACGCCCCCACATGTCTACCTCACTATGTGTGAAGATTTGCATAACGCCGCCCAAATATTCACGCAACGATAGAAGGCGTAACTTTTATTCTCACTGTAGTATTGTTGTTGCCGCCGCCGCCGCCATGTCGTGAAGGCGCTGTGATTCGTTGTGAAAGTGAAACTACTTTGTTTGGCCTTCCAAAAGAGGACGATATCCGCTTCGTCATGCCTGGAGCTGATCCGTGCTGGTCGCTGCAGGAAATACATAAACTTCGCACTGTGGATCGCCGGATCGGCTTTCACTGTGGACGAAGCGGAGTCCAGCCCGGGGTCGTCACATGTGGTTGCCGCAAGCCCGCTTGACGCTCCTTCGTCGAATCTGCCGGCAGTGCCATTCTCAACCCTGTCGCCTCTGCTCACTCAAGCCGGCCTCCACTCACTCAAGGCCGCGGTGTGTGACGCTGTTTCATTGTGAAAGCGAAACTACTTTGTTTGGCCTTCCAAAAGAGGACACGACTAGAAATCAGTGGTTAAGTTGTATTTACAACACTGTTCCAGAACAGTTCAACCCAAATATTCAGATGTGTCCAGCGCATTTTATGGAGGACTGTTTCCTGATCCTGGTAGAGTAGACTACAATGCCGGCTGTTCTGACTCACAGACTGTAAGTACGTTTTTTATATTTAAAGAATTTGCCACAGACAATTCAAACGCAAGTTTTTTGGACAGTGTAGAGTAGCACTTGTTGTTTGTCATTTCTCTGATCACAAATGCAGGTATGGTTTTATGTTTACGCGGCGCGATGCAATGCAACGCGTAAAAAGACAGTACAAGTCATTATAATCCATAATTATATCCCCACTGGATGCAACAAATGCCTCGTTTGTAATGGGTTTTAATGTTTTTGTCTCATCGCTCCGGCCGGACAGGGCATCATAATATGGTAAGGGCGTAACATTTTCGTCACACGCTTGAGGTATTCGGCCAATCACAACGCACTGGATAGATGGCCAATCAGAGCACACCTCGCTTTTCAGACCGATGAGCTTTGTAAAAATCGACACGTTTCAGAAAGGCGGGGCATAGAGGAGAAACAATAATGTACAGTATGTGGAAAATAATGTTTTTTTTTTTTACCTTAAACCGCATAAACACATTTCATTACACCAAATACACAAAATAATGTTCTTTTTAGCAGCATCATATGACCCCTTTAAACGGTAGTGTAAAAATGTTCAAGATTACAGTGGGACCAAATGTAAATCTTGTATCGCTCAACCACTAATCTGAATATTTGAGGCGACATGTCCCCCTCAATATCTGGTAGTCACAACCCTCATTTTTATTCCTTCAAAATGTCTGGTGTTTAATCAGACAAGCTGATTCATGCCTGTCAATGTTCACTAAGAGGTTTTGACGTCCCTCGTAGCCCTCTTGTGAATGGCATGCAGAGCTTGTGTTTCATATCTGGTGTTCCCACCTTGAGTGTTCTAGAACATAAAATGACCCACTTGTTTGAGAACTTGTTGTTATTATCCTCAGATCTGATGCACGTTTCAGAAGTCCCATTTTTTCAAAACATGTTCAAACAATTTTCAATCTGTTACCACTCCTTTTCTCCTAAGGATTAGTTCACTCAAAAAACTAAAAACAAAACACTGTCATTAATTACTCACAGTGTTGGGGAAAGTTACTTTTAAAAGTAATGCATTACAATATTGCGTTACTCCCTAAAAAAGTAACTAATTACGTTACTTAGTTACTTTTTATGGAAAGTAATGTGTTACGTTACTTTTGCGTTACTTTTTAAATCTGGGCTGGGCTTATTTGTTTGTTTTTAATATAAAAAGTACAAATGTAAAAGCCCTTTCACAACAAAAGTGAAATGAATGAGCCTCAGGCTGAAGGAAAAGTGAATTCACATCTGTACAGTAGAGGGCACAGCTCAAACAATTTGCATGAAGAATATGACAGCAGGAGAAGAAAGTTTAACACTATTCAGCAATAACAAAAATGAAACACAAATGTGTAATTTTTGCTTAGTATGGTTGAATTGGATCATCGAAGGTCAGTAACAAAAACATTGGTTAATAAAATGGGATTAAATACATAAATGACATTTGTCTTATTTAACATATTTAATTATTGCAGGTTTGTATAATGTTCCGAGTTTGCATTTGACTGTTTTTATTCATTTTGAGGAAGACTGAATCTGTTCATATTTAGTGTAGAACTACAGTAAGCATCACGTTCACACAGCCTCTGTACATATTCCCTGATTTCTCTCAATATGGCAACACAAGAGCTGTCAGTCAATACATGGGGGAAGAAAGTAACTGGAGTTACTTGTTTGAAAAAGTAACTCAGATATTTCCTTCTAAATTAAAAAGTAATGTGTTACTTTACTAGTTACTTAAAAAAAGTAATCTGATTACGTAACTTGCGTTACTTGTAATGCGTTACCCCCAACACTGTTTACTCACCCTAATGACATTGCAAACCAATATGACTTTGTTTCTTCTGTGGAACACAAAAGATGTTTAACAGAATTTTGACTGTGAGTTGTCAAGCTTAAGGCATAAAACGACTTCACATGAAAAGGAAAATGTTGCACAAGTCCTAAGGACTAAGATTTGTTTTTTTGCTGGGGGTTGGATCTTGACAGCCATCAGTCTACATTCACTTTCATTGTGTTAAAAAGTGCAGTATAATCTTCCTCAAAATGCTCCTTCAGAACAATGTGTTCCACTGAGGAAAGAAAACCATACAGGTTTGAAGCGACACAGTTTTAAGGTGAATGATTCCTCTAAAGATGCTATAATATTGTTTGGTTTCTGCTTTTTGGACATTTTATTTTTATGATTGTATCTTGATAAAACTTTATTCATGAGAAACACCTATACAGCAGTTTGTTTCAGAAGGGCTAAAAATCTTTATAGCTGCAGTAATGTTGCTTAATGTTTCTCTAACCACTAATGCATAATAAGCCCTTCATACACACACCACATCTCACTGCAACCTGCTTAGAGCAATGCACAGCAAAACCGGACTTGACGTAGAAAGTAGGTTCACAGTTACAACGCAAATTCCATCACATTGAAAAGACAGAGAGAGGCAAAAAGCAGCGGGACAGGAAGAGAGGAAAGAGGAAACAGTGTAATTTATAATTTGTTCCATAGGCTAGTATCGGGAATGCTTTCTAATTTATACCCAACCACCCAGAAACTCACCACAAGAAGTCAGACTCATAAATGGTCACCATGGTCACAGGTGCTCACAAAAAAGACCTCCACACCCTATATTTTCTCTTTTAACGCAACAATGGCACCTAGGTCGTCATTGCAGGCGTATTCCGATGTACGTTTTTCCATGTGTAACCCAGTAGGGATTGTTTGTGTGATTTGTCGGTCTCATTGCACCTAAGAGGATTGTTGGGCCTCCAGAATGTCATATTGATGCCGACGGTAACAAAAGACTCTAAGAGGAACAGCCACAGTACAACAACGTCAGCGCGCTGGTGGCGCAGCTCGTGAATGGTCCTGCTTTGTGTTCCCTCTTAAAGGAAGCTGATGGAACACTACGCTCTGCTTGTAAATCTCCCAATTCTTTGTTTAGGATGCATGTGATGTGTTTTAAAGCACAATTGTTGTCTGTGTTGTTATTTTAAAGAAGAGGTTGATGTGCCCTTTTTCCACCCCTCTGTTATTTTAACAATGGAGACAATGACAGAATGATTCAAAACATGGGAACTTCATCTAAACTTAACCACGACCTTGAATTTTACACCCTAATGCAACCTGAGATGAAAGGAGTGTGTATGGCTGATTACTTGAGTTCCTAACAGAGCATTTTCCGCTGCACCTTTGTGGGAATTTCCTTCAGGGTCAGTCGGTTCTTCTTTTTCCAACACAGCTCGTCGTCTCAAACGCAACAACTTTGGCCTTTAACACCAGACGTCTCAGTGACTAATCCAAACTGGCTGCGCGAATTTCCTGAAGTTGTTATGTTCTAGTTCTTGGATCCAATCTGAATGCTGTTTTTTGCGTTTCTCGTCAGCTCAGAGAAGAACATACAGAATGTTTTAAGCGCCAAAACAACAGCATTCATCTATCTGCTGTTTCCTTTTGCCTTTGAACTAAAATGACTGATGGAGAGAGCGCGCTTCCGGTAACATTCAGTTGTGGTTGAAGAATGTTTAAAAAAGGCTGCTGAAGACAAGACAGATCGATAAATAAATACATTTCCATTCAATATATCTATTTCCATTCAGTCCATTGCAGTGCATGCTGGGAGCTGAAAATGCCCTGGCCAGTCTCACTTGAGTTTCTAGCCAGTTTTTCTTTGAATATATTTGACATTTTATGGTTTAAAGCGCATAGTTATTAAATTCTGATATCTTGTTTTGCTGTGTGTTAAAATGTCGTGTTATCTCTAATTTTAGGTAGCCTGGTGGATTTTTTGAAGACTCCAGAAGGATGTGCTATACCCATCAATATGCTGATCGATATGGCTGCTCAGGTAGACTGCACCTGACCGTATTCATTTGGTTTTTTTGGTCAGTATTGCACTCAAAACATCAGGGGTGAGACATTTGTACCTCACAGGAAACCAACTGACCTATTTGTACGCGTTATAAGCTCAAGTCTACATTACAACCCCTTGCATAATCGGTTTATCACTCATTCCTCTGTTTGACCACTGTCTTTAAGCTTGTGACGGTAGCATTACTCAGCCGCTGCTCTGCTTCCTAATCTCATCGTTAACAATGAGCACGACTGTGTGTGCTGGAACGAGACCTTAATCCAACAACAACTGTTCTGCTACCCAAGCCAAACTACCCAGACTTGATGAACATGCAATATAAATGTGTCCATATATATATATATACAGTATATATTGTATATACACAATGTCAATTATAATAAATGATTTTTGAGCACCAAATCAGCATATTAGAATGAATTCTGAAGGATCATGTGACACTGAAGACTGATAAATTACATCTAACAATATATTAAAATAGAAAGTAAAATTAATATTTCATAATACAGTATTTTTTATCAGAATCAGATGCAAAGACTCTATGCTCTGTTTCTTACTAACATTAAATTTACATTCTCTGACCAAGCATACAATTCTTTGTTTGTTTGCTATAATATTGTACACAAAGATTGTAAGGACCACACAAAGGTCTGATGTAGGTCACGGTAATTCTTGACCTAATTAATGACACTCCATGCTTCGTTGAGAATATCTAATTATTGTGGGAACAGATCCTGTTCGAACGGCAGTGTAAAATCTGATGGTATTTCCATGAACTATTCACAAACGGACAGTAATTTCTGAGTAGAGAGTCTTGTGTTTTGATTCAGCTCTGAGTTCTCTTTCGTGAAGAAATTAAGGTATCGTTTTTCAACAAGATATTCAATGAAATGTTGGCGGAGAAAAGATAACAGAGAACGTGAGAGGCAGGATGTTTTTGAGGCAGCATTAAAGTCATTCGCTTTAGGGATCAGCTTAGATGCTGTGTGATATCTTTCAGCTATTCTTCTCCATAAAGTGAGTGGATTTGCGTCAAGGCGTTTTTTTTATGTCTTGGTGAAATTAATACATGGAGCTTGTCGCCTCTTCTCAACACACACACAAATGAGATGCATGCCTACACATTTATGCTAACCTGTCAGCTCTGAGGCAAAACCGTGAGGCATGTTCACATCAAACCAACACATTTTTGAACTATGACTTCCTTGAATAAACATGTGCACGGTGTCACAGTGCAACATCCTCTACAAAAAGCACACTACAATCATGCACCACCTTCACCTATAATAACACATCTGCAAACATACACTATAATAGTATCTGCCCACAATCACAGATCACAGTCTAATTTCATGTGAAAGAGTTAAAGAAAATGACAGGAAGACTACAGAGCTGATCTAGGAGAACAGTTGTACTTCACTCTCACACTGACTGTAGTGCAGATTCAGAAAGAGCAGACTTCTGAGAAGTTAAGCAGCCATCTAGCTTACTGTTCTGAGATCAGTTGAAATTGCAGCTAGCTTAAATATGGGAAAATAAAGAAAGACGATGCATCAGGAAGTATAGCAGCAAACCAGCCTTCTGTGTATGAAACCTGTGGCTTGTGCTGGGTGGAGTGAATCATTGAGGGTTAAAAGTCAAATCAAGGGACGTTAAAGCATGAACCTCCCTGTCTCAGGAACTGACCTCTGTCTGTGTGTGCAGCATGGGTTATGTTCGGAATGAAATACAAACCTACTGCATACTGCTTTATCAAATTAATATGTGACACCTATGCAACAATTGTTCAAAAATAATTTTCAACATTGTTGTCACACGACTTCCTCATGTTGCACATTGCATTATTTTCTTTTGAAGAAATGAATAGGCCTACTTTATTCAGCAAAGATGCATTAAATTCAAAAGTGAAAGTAAAAATATTTATAGGCCTAATGTTACAAAAGATTTCTATTTCAAACAAACTCTTTTCTTTTAAACTTTCTATGTATCAAAGTATCCTGAGAGAAAAAAGTATCATGGCTGCTGAAAATTCAGCTTTGTCATCACAGGAATAAATTACATTTTAAAAATACCTTCACCTTTGGGAAACCTTTTTTGGTCTATGCACCTCAGTTGGATTTTTTTAAGGCGCGGTGAGTCTCTGGCTGCTTCTAAAATATTCATATTAAAATAGAAGTGTAATATCTGAAATAGATATTAAATTATAATGATATTTTAAAATATTACTGATTTTATTGTATTTTTGCTCAAACAAATGCAGCCTTTGTGAGCATAGGGACTTAAATAATTTGAATGGCATTGTAATTAAAGCAAAATATATTATGGTCATTTGACAGTTCGATTAAAATAATGAATCAAGTAAGAGATAAAAAAAATGCAGCAAGTATTCATGCAAATATTACTTGCAGTTCATTTTTTACACTGGAAATAGAAGGTAAAGCACACTGCATTGTGAAATACACTATATAGCACAGTATTCTTTGTTATATAGTCATCTCAGTATTTCATACATACTTTGCATAGTATACATATTATATACTGCAGAAATAATAGCATGGCAGTATGCTATTCTGCCTTATTATTAACACTGCACTGCCCCCTGCAGGTCGCAGATGGAATGGCTTACATAGAGCAGAAGAATTACATCCACAGAGATCTGAGAGCTGCCAACATTTTGGTGTCTGATGAGCTCGTCTGCAAGATTGCTGACTTCGGCCTCGCCCGTCTAATTGAAAATAACGAATACACTGCCAGAGAAGGTAAGGCAGCATCTGTATCATGCTCTGTTATATCCTGTTTTAGGATTAGATTACCTGAGAAAGTTTGGCTGCAACACCAGAGATCTAAAAAGATGCCTTAAATCACACAGGTGCAAAGTTTCCTATCAAATGGACGGCACCTGAGGCCATAAACTACGGCACCTTTTCGATCAAATCAGATGTCTGGTCGTTTGGAGTACTGCTGACAGAGATTGTTACCTATGGAAGAATCCCATATCCAGGTAACAAACAAGCTCCATGTGCTTCCTTTTTGAACTTTGTACAGTAGCATTAATGGGAATCATTTCGTCTCAGAATTTTTATTCCCCACACTGTTACTCTTGGATCTTTCAGGAATGACAAACCCAGAGGTGATTGCAAACCTTGAGAGAGGCTACCGCATGCCTTGCCCTGATAACTGCCCCGAGGACTTGTATGATATCATGAAACACTGTTGGACAGAGAACCCAGACAATCGACCCACATTTGAGTATCTGCGCAGTGTTCTAGAGGACTTTTTCACCGCCACAGAGAGACAGTACCAGGAGCAGCCCTGCTGAAAAGATTTATCTTAGTAAACTTACAGTCCACGGGGTCACATTAAAGACTTGTATTGAAAAATATTCCAAAATACAGTTTTTAGTTAAAAGAAAAACTGATTTTATGTCTTCTAATTAAAATGTTTTCAATAATCATGATTAAGTTCAAACATGGATTTGGCCTTAGCTTTGTCCACAGAATTTATTATGTGTAAAACAGGTGCATGTATAGTTTTTTAGCAGATGGAAAATATTTTTTTTTAAATGACAAACTCAACAGGAAAATCTTTGGCTACAGGTGTGCTCTCAATGAATGAGTGAACGCCCTGCTTTGTGTTCTTCCTTTGAGCTTTTATTATTTCTTCTTTCTGCTCTCAGATTTGTGTTTATTTTTTTATATAAGCATATATAACTGCATCATGAAATATTGAGCCAGTAAAACAGTCCAAGAGATAAATGGGTCTCATTTAATTTGTTTTGACAAATTGCTTTCAGATTCACGGTGACTAATTCTGTTAAATATCTACATCTTCCTTAAAAAAAACATTAAAAAAAAAATAAAAAATCATGAAATTGGTATTTCAAGGTAAAAAAAAAAAAAACTTTGTTGCTTGCCTTATCAGAAGTCAATGTAACATAAAAATAATTTTGAACCTATTTCTAAGTTTACAAAAAAATTTAAGCTGCTTTTAGCCAAGGACTTTCTCCGATTTTGAGAAAACGAAACAAATACCTTATCCAAATATTCTGCACAAATTTTCTAGACAGTGTCTAAGCACATGTGAGGAATAAAAATGAGTAGAAAAGAGGACAATAGACAAGCTATTTACAGGCATGCATATATTTGACCCATCAATCCTATTTAGAGCAATTTCAGAAGCTCAGTTATAAATAGAAAAATATTTTATTTAAATGTACTGGAACAAGGTATCCCATCAGTGTAGAAAATATGTAACCAACATAAAACAAGCATATCACATGTTAATGATGTTAATATATAAACATGGTGAAACCAATAGCAGCATGTAGTGGGCAGCATGCTTTTATTTGCATTGGCACTTAGTATGTCTTGCTCCACTGTCATAAAGCAACTCCGTGCGATGTATACTTATGAATTATAGCCAATCACTAGTCTCCACAGCAACTGTGTCTTTGTCAAGTAGGTCGTTCTGTTCTGCAGCCTCCTCCTCATTTGGATCGTCTCCTGGTGGAAGTGCGGTTTCTTCTGGCAGCTGGACACGCACCTGAACCCAAACAGTTACATTGCATTCAGAGAATACAAAATGTTTATCAGGTATAATGTGGAACTGGCATGCAAAATTACCCTTTAAGCATAACCTCGAACCTAAAATGATTTCAAATCAAATTCTGATTTGTATTTTGAATGCACTCAATAAAAAAAAATACAGTAAGTCAACCTTTAACGCTACATTTATGCTGCATAGCAAGAACAAATATAAAAAAGTATAAAAATAAAAAAACAGTACATAGTCACTGCATGTAGGTCTATTTACCCTGACATTTCTCCTCCATGGGCAGCGCAACCGGAGGAAAGAAGTGCAAGCCAAGAAACAGCGGCAGGAGAACACAACCTCCACCACTGACATCAGAATCAATGGAAACCATAGGATTAATGTAGTACCCTGGAGAGAGGAATATATTTTTTTGTTTCATTATTTTAGTATTTCCTTTCACTTGCATATTTTGCATCATGTCCCACAGGGCTTCCACTGCTTTTTACCAATGAATTTCCATGACTTTTGTATGACACGTACATGCATTTGAGATTACTGGATTTTTACATTTCATTTTTAATAAGAGAGCAACTGTAGGTAATTAAATATTTTAAAGCTGGGGGAAAAGAAAAAAAAGAAAAGAAATACATTTCCATGACCATGGGAACCCTGGAGTCTCATTTAAAGGTGTTGGTAAAATGATCCTAAATGTTAAAATACAACAATTTCTAAAAATGTTCCAAAGAACAATTTACAAATTGTCTGTACACACACAAAATTGATCCCAAATGCATCCTTCCTTATAAAATCACAGTTCATCCAAAATTAGAGTGTAATATTAAAAAGTGCAGCAACTCCACCTACAGAATATCCACATAAATAAATGCATTTAAGTACAAATATATATATTTGTTCCTCACTTTTGACATATGATGAAATCCATGGAATTTAGGATCATACAATCATATTTGTGTTTTATAAATAAGGCCCCTGGTTCATACTATGGCTTAAGTTGCTACAGTTTTGGTGACAAATGCATCTCAACTGTAAGAAAAAAAAAGCCTCTTAAAAAGGCATTTATGAGGTTCATATCATTCATTTGTATTTGATTACACTAAGATCCACCAGACTGGACTCACTGACTCACATAGATGCGTGTGGGGTCAAAGGGGCATTCATTTGTGATGCTGTAGTAGGTCATGTTGGCAGGCAGGTCGCAGTGGGCAAACAGAGTGTGTCCTTCCCACATTATGGCCCTCACTGTGGCAACAGTGATTCCCACTGCAGAGGCGGCACCCAAGAGAACAGCCAAGACACTCACAATTAGAAGAAACCAACTCTGCAACAAGGATAAAATGCATTAAGAAATCAATAATATATGAACACCGTATTTTGTTCTATTGAATTTGAAGTGCAAGTTTTGCAGTGGCAGCAAATAAATAGCAAAAACACAAAGAGCGAATGGAATCATTACAAAAAGGACAGTATTGTGTGCTTGTGTCTACTCACCAGCAGCTGGTTTTTCTTGTTCTTTGAGAGAACAATAGCCGAGATTCCAACAATAATTGCCTGTAGATTATAACATGGTCAGATGTATAAATTACAGTGTGGACTCATTCAGTGGAAAAGGTGAGTTTGCAGTTTTAACTAACACACCTGCTTATTAATTTTAACTACTATGCATTATGCCTCAAACACCACATCACTCAATCATGATCACAAACAGAAATGCATTACACTTTTGTAGACAGACAAACCATAAGTCCTGCCACAAGAGCGATGACATTGGAGATGGGGTAGACGAGTTTCTTGTTCCAGGTGAACACTTTTATGTGTCTGAGCACAGCTCCATGTACCAGTGCCCCCAACAAGAAGTTCACATGACCCACCAGCACCAGCCCCAAACCCATCTTCATCAGGATCTTATCATCCTTCAGACTGCCACAGCAAAGACCTACAAGAAACACACACAATATCAACCACAAACACAGAAACATTGAAGACGAAGGGTCAGACACCAGATAAAAAAAACAAAAAAAAAAGGAAATGAGTCAAGGAATTATGCGCACCATGAAATTCAGATGAACTTCAGACTACATACAATAATTTTCCATGAGCCATGATTTCACTAAAAGAAAGCTGTTATGAGGTGATGAGGGACTGTTAGATATAATGGAGGAAATAGACAAACACAATGATAATCGTACACACACACACACAGTATTTTTCCCCCCACAATTATTTCCTTACACTTAGTTATTTTTCATCATGTCCCACAGGGCTCCCACACTTTTTCCAATGAATTTCCACGACTTGTGCATGATACTTCCATGCATTTGTTACAATTGCATTTTTAAAAACCATTTTAAATAATTCAAAGATCAATTTTAGCTAAAGAAATATTTTAGAGCTAGTAATGAATGAACTAAATTAATTAATTAAAATATTTATCATAGAGCTTTTGTGGACTGTGTATTTTCTACCAGGCCATTACATTGAGGGATAACAGTAAGATTAAATCCCCACAGAAATACTCACTGCATTGCACAATTCAAGTAAGTTTACTTACCATTTTCTAACCCTCATGTAGTTGTAAACCTGTATGACCTTTTTCTTCTATGGTACAATTACTACATTTTGGTCGTTGGTTTCAAAGACAAAGGCTTAAGCTTTTTATGAAAGCTGCTTAAATATCTTAATTTAACTAGGGCCTATAGTCCTGGCTTAAGACAAGTCCCGTCTGTGAAACCGGGCCATAAATGACAAATAAATGGTGATCGAAAATGTCAATCATCATCAATAGGGATCAATAGCGATGAAATTCATTAACGACACCGCCATGCAATTAGAAGAGCCAACCGCATTGTTGATATAGGATTAGAAATCGCGCCTTAAAGTTAAAAGAGACAGTAGCTTGTTTGTTTACTTTTGTTGAATGCGCGTGCTTTATATTAGACAAGCATTAGAATAAGATACGATTATCAGAAAAATCTAAAATTTTGGTTTCGGAATTCAACGGAACCATTGTAAAGATCCGATTCAAACCGAATTTTTCGCTCGCGAACTGAACACTGCTACGTCCAAATGTTCCAAAGACAGCTCGGTCGAATGTCAAGATTTTCAGTAAATAACGACGTAACGTAAACGTCTGTTTCTCACACAAAGCTACGCATGGCTTCAGAAGACATGCATTGGCTAACGTTACTTTCATGGTGTTCCTGCATTCAGTTAAATGCTCGATATTTTCAGTCAACATTGATAGGCTGCTACATGGTAAATATATTCTTCAAAATGTATTTTGTGCTCCACAGGAGAACAAAAGTCATACTAGTCTGGTGAGGGTGAGTAAATGAGTGAACTATCCCTTTTTATAACATTTTCATTAAAATACATTATTAATATCACAAAAGACATAAATACAGAGCTGAGATTTAGCTATGTATCTAGCATAAATCAATTAACTCATTGGAGAACTAGATTAGACATTTATATGACAGCGAGGGATTTAGGGCAACAAATAATGCTGTGCTGTATTATCAAGGTAAACATGACCACACCCAGACCACGTTCGCGAGCCTGTTCCTATACTCCCTCCCACCCCATGAAATGCAAACTATGTAAATAAAGTCCAACTCACCCGAATTCACCATCCTGAAGTCCTTCTTTCAGATTAAGTCATAATTAAGGGTTTAAGATGTTCAAGGATCTTCTCCTCTTACCGTGCCTCTCAGGCCGTCTTCCTCCTTCCCGTTCACCTGCATGCATGGCCACTCCCCGTCCGCTCGCGCACCTGTCCTGAGTGACCGCCCTTCTTCTTCTTCTTCTTCTTCTCTTAGTTAACGGCGGATTGAAAACAACTTTTAGATGCATACCGCCACCTACCGTACAAGAGTGTGTCACATCATGTCATTTTAAGTGTACTCATATTCTGTTCATTTACCCTGTATCATTAAGGAATTTAAATAATGCTTTCCTGGTTATCCTTATCCCCCCTCCCTCTCCTTCTGTTCCTAGTATCCCCATCAGACTCCACTCCCGCCCTGCCACCTGAACCCTATCTTCAAAACACCCGTCTTTGCACCTCATATATTATATACAGTGTATGACATGCTCAGCATTTTCTTTAACCCCACAGTTATCACAATTCTCATTATTCATTTTCCCCATTAAAAACCAGGTGCTATTCAGTCCTGTGTGATCCACTCTCACGCTTATTAAAATTTCTTCCCGCCTATTCCTTTCTCTATAATTTTTAATGCTAACAGACTTTTGTATTTTATAATATCCCCTTCCTTTCTTGTCTTCCTCCCACCATTTCTGCCATATTTCAATACCTTTCTTCTAAACTACTGCTTTTCCCTCACCTTTTCCAAGTGGTATTGGAACTTATATTTCTTTTTGCAATGCCTCTTTTTCTAATTTATCTGCACTTTCATTCCCTTTCACTCCCTCATGTGCTGGCACCCAACAAAACTGAACATCTATACCACCCCTATGTAATCTTAACAAACTGTGATAGAGTTCTATCAGTAAATCTTCTCTGACAGATGTCATTGACTGAATGCTTTTTATAACAGCTAAGGAGTCACAATATCACACTATCAGGTCTGATCTCTTCAACCCAATGTAACGCAATGATGACTGCCACAATTTCTGCCGTATATACGGATAACTGATCAGATAATCTTTTGGAAATATTAATTTTAAATTCTGGGATATGTATTCCAATTCCCACACATTCCTGTTGGTTCTTGGATCCATCTGTATAAATTGAGATAATTATAATAACTGTTTCTTAGATAAATGCTTGTTAACTCCCACTTCCTCCAATCTCCATTCCTTTTTCTTTTCCATGATACTAAAATCCGTCTTTGCTTCTGGAAAAAAATCATGGTGGAATGTTACTAACTGGGGTGAGCGTAGTGAAATCTAAGGATTCCATTCCATGTTCCCTCACTCTCTTTTCTCCGTTCCATCCAAACCCATGCCCCTGAAATTTGGAATACTCCCAACAATCCTGTATTATCTCCTTTGTAGGGTTTTCTTTCCCACTTCCTTTCAATCATATCCAATAACTCACCTGTTTCTATGAGTATTGTGTTAATGGGAGTTGACTTAATAGCTCCAAAGCAAACACGTAATGCTCTATACTGTAATCTATAAATTCTCAAATAATGTTTTTGCTGCTGCACTATAAACTATACAACCATAATCTATTGCTGACCACAAAGAACCATTCAGTCAAAGGTTCTTTAAAGAACCATCTCTTTCTTGCATTTTTGTAATCTGAAGAACCTTCTTTCGCCACAAAGAATCTTTTGTGAAACAGAAAGGTTCTTCAGATATTAAAGGTTCTTTATGGAACCATTTAGACAAAAAGGTTATTCTATGGCATCGTGAAGCACCTTTATTTTTAAGAGTGAACTATCATATGCTTTCTCTGTCAAAATATACTATTGTCATGAGCTCTTTCATTTTCAATGCCTTCTCCACCTCATTGCTTACTCGTACTAAAGCATCTGTTGTGGAATGTCCTTTTCGATATCCACTTTGTATGTTAGTTAGTAATCCTCTCTGTTCTAGTACATGCAATATCCTACAAACTATTATCCTCTCCATCCATTTGCATAAATGGGATGTTAGTGCTATAGGCCTATAATTACCTGGATTAGTTCGGTCTTTACCAGGTTTGTTAAATGGTAGAATGACTGCACTTTTCCAACAACTCGGTATCATTCCATCCTTCCAAATTTTATTGAAGAGTCTTAACACTAACTTAAATGATTCTATTGGCAACTGTCGAAACATGAAATAACATAATTGATCTTGACCTGGACTTGTATATCCAGTGCCTAGCAGAGCTATGTTGAGTTCAGACATTGTAAAATCCACATCTAATGTTGATATACCATCCTCCCTCTTCAGCTTCACATCCTTATCCTCTCTGAGTGCAATATCTTTTAGCTTCTTATGCATATCCGTAAGGTGGTCTTCTTTTTCTTCTTCTTCTTTGGAATTTTTTGGCGTATTCTGCACCATAGGCACATACTGCCACCAACTGTTTCTAATCATACATGGATGATAGTTCATAGTTCCGCCTCTATTCATATTTTATTTATTTATTTTTTAATTGTTAATTTTATTACGGGCTCACCCAAGCTCACACCAAGCCTATTCCTTTGCTTTATTTATTTAACTATCAAATTTGTTTATCCTGATTGTTTATCCTAATTTGTTTTAATTTCAGACCAATTTCAAATTTGTTAATCCTGTTTCTACTATATATTCCATTACTATTCTTTGATTACTACCTTCTCTTAATCCTTTTCCTAATATCCAATTTATTGGATTGGAATTTTTCTTTATTATTACCATTTAAGCTCTTTATCATTTTAATTCTCTCCATATTATATTTCCGACATTTTAATATTACATGTTCAACGGTTTCTATTACCCCACAAAAAGCACATTTACCTGTAATATGTTTACCTATTTTGTATAGTGATGTATTTAGTCCTGTGTGCTCAAATTGTAATCTATTTAAAATCACCTCATCTTTCCTACATCTTCCAAAATTGTATACTTCTTTAACTGATGAATTCATTTTTATAATAAAACCTTCCTGTACCAGCTATGTCCCACTTCTTCTGCCACTCTTTTTGAATATTTGATTTTATAATTGATTTAATTTCTCCTCTTCCTAATGGGACTTCAATCTCGATATCCTTTTTTTTGGTTGCCTTTTTTGCTAACTTATCTGCTATTTCATTTCCATTGATTCCTGTGTGAGCCGGAACCCAACAAAATTTGATATCTATTCTCATACTATTTAGAGATTTTAATGTCATACATATATCATTTAAAATGTCTTCTCTAATGGATTTATATGAAACCAAACTATTTAGCGCTGACATAGAGTCTGAACATATAATAACTCTATCTGGTCTAACATCTTCTATCCACTGTAAATACAACCATTATTGCAACTAATTCTACTGTATATATTGCTAAATTATTTGATAATCTTTTGAATATGCTTATTTCGAATTTTGGAATAAATATACCTATACCTGTCACCCCAGATTCTAGTACCTTTGATCCGTCTGTAAATATCTGTAAGCATGAAAAATAATTGTTTTCTTCTTCTTCTTGGTTTTTAACGGCGGCTGGCAACCAACGTAAATAGGTGCATTACCATCACCTTCTGCACCGGAGTGTGGTACAGAGTTGAAGAGTCCTCAACCTATACAAAGATTTTATAGCGCCTTTTAATTTATTTTATTTTAATATACCATTCTAGTAATTTCAGACAGATGTAGTTTGTATTTTTTTTTATATACTTTTAAAAAACTTTAAATGTAATAATTTTGTTTTTAATTTACGTGATGTCAGAATGCCGGTCATATTATTGTACAATGTCAAATCCAACTTTAAAAGCAAGGCACAAAACACTTATAAATAGGCCCAAGAGTACATAGTTACAAATATCAAAATTGTTGCAAAATACATGTTGGTACCAAAAAAAAAAAAGTAAAGTAAAATAAAATAAATAAATGTTGTTTTACTTTTATATATTTTAGGAATGGTAAATAATTACCGATAACATTTATTAAAGAATAAACTAAACAAAATAAGGATTAGTTTAATTCACAATTAAGAATGACAAAATGGATATTTACATCTGGAAATGCTGTCTAATTTATTATATATATATTTAAATCAAAAGATTTTATTAATTTGTTTTGTTGTGGCTGCATAAAAAACCCAATCACCTGCATTAGTGTAAGTTTGTCTTCAGTCAGTGTAGATCACAATCAGTTGATGAAGTAAACCTGAACACCTGGACTTGATCACCTGACTCTCATTAATGCATTAATCTATGCAGCATAAACCTCCTCACAGCAAGAATTTTAAGGTCTGTGCGACAAAGAAAATTGTTGTGTTAATTATTCTGTGCTGGGTTTCACTCGGGTAAAAGCTGTGGAATAGGAATGGCGGCTGTTTTTGTCATCTTCTGTTGGACTATAGTGTCTCTAGCGCTGCCTGTTACACCAAACGGGGATGATTTTAATGGGCACTTTACAGCGTACTCTCCAGGAATCATACAAGATGTCTGGCATATTCCTGCCGCTGTAGCACATTTCCTGAATGAAGTTCCTCAGACTCACGATTTTGATGAATTTGCATCGGTGTTTCCAATGCCATATGATATACAGGCTCTTCTGGACAGAAGAAACAGTTTTTCATTTAGGATCATGAATTGTACGTCATTAAAACACTACTTAATTAGACAGACAGCATTAGACGCTAACTATATCTAATGTTTATTTTGCTCTAGCTTCTTGGAGTGGTCCAGCGGATACTAATGTGTTCCACAGAGGAGATCAGTTGTATCTGCAGGTGTCTGCCTCCCCTGGACTGGGTCAAAAGCTTTATGTTCAGTCCTGCCATGCTTCCTCTTCTCCAAACCATGCTGACAAACCTGAAGTCGCCCTTATCATCAACAAAGGGTAGGTCAACTCAACAAACGTTATTTTGAAAACACTTGCTCCCTGAATTATTATTTTTTATTTCACCAGATGTGTGGCGTCCAAAGAGTCTTTGGTGAAGTTTGTGATGCAACAGCCTGACAGAGTGAATTTGATTGTTCGTACATCCAGTTTGAAGTCTTCTGAGGTGTGTTCAGTACTGGTTAGGATCACTGCAGTCCTGCAAACTGACAGTAGTTTATGTAATGCTCTCCTGTTTGCTTTAGAGTTACATTCACTGTGGAGTCTATCTTACTAATTTGGGTGTCACCCCTACCACTAAATTCTGCAACTACAACAAACTGAAATCCAAGTGAGTGTGCAAACCACTTATTCTTGAAGTCTTTTTCCTAACAGGCTTTTGGAACTATTTATTTATATATATATATATATATATATATATATATATATATATATATATATATATATATATATTTATTTATTTATTTATTTTCAGATGGGTTGACCTGGGTGGACAATCTTCAGTATGTGATTGTTGTGGGAGAAGGTGCAGAAACATAATTGAGCGAGTAGAACTGCCTGGTCAGTGTGGCTTTTATTTATTTAACTGAGTCCGGGAAATTCATTTCCCGTTTTGTTTCTCAATGAACTTTACCTGCTGCAAGAGTTACTTGTGGAAAGTTACCAATATTTCTAGCAAATCCAAAGATGCTTTGCGTGAAGAAAAAAAAAAAAATGCTCCTTTTGTAGTGGAGCCAGTAAAAATCAGAACTACTGCAGCAACAAGTTTATTAAGTTCAAGGCAGGGGTAAAGCAATGCGAACATACACTTCGATTATATGTAAAAGTGGCGTTAACGTAAAGGAATACCAACACAAGCAAATATAAAACTGAAGACGATTACCAAATAATGACCACTCATTCATGTTATACATATGCACAGCCACTGTATATTTGTGAAATGTAAAGTGTTATTGTTCCTAGAAAAATCTTTATTAGAGCTTATTCTCCACCATCTGTTACAGTTTCTCTAGACCTGACCGCAGTAGTAAGCACAGGCCCGCTGGTACTCAAGGATCAAGAATCTGCTCCACAGGCCACACCACTGACTCTGTCTGACTACAGCGCACAGTCCACCTCTACAGCCAGAGATGGCTCTGATAAAAGCTGGATCATGGCAGGTACCTCTTTCTCTGGGAGCTCAATGCAAAACGTTGGCAAGGTCTCCCCCTGGCCTGTCCAGCATGGCTTTGGTGGGGTGATGGTCGTCAGCAAGGGCCTGGAAGGTGATTTATCAATGTGGCTACCAGACATCATTGAGCTTGAGTTTAACCCAGTGGTGCAGATGGGGACTGGTTATCCAGAAAATCCTGTTGATATAACTTTTCAAAATGCTGAACACTTTAGGAAGCTGAGACCAGATGAAAGCACTGTTGAGAGGAGTCAGGCAGTTGCTGTGGATTCACATGATGTTGTAAAGGACTGGTTGGACATGTGGCATCTTAATGATGTTGACCACTTGCATAAAATTCAGGAAAAACCTGTTTTGACTTCAGCGGATTATCTAGAGCAGCCTCAACTGCATCTTGAATCTGAATTTGACTTTCCTCCAAATGACCAGCCCCTGATCAGCCCTACTTCAGATAAGCTCTCTGAGAGTGCTGAGGATGAGGGAGATGTTGTTTTCAGACAGGCCGAGATCATCTTTAATGGCCCTAAAGGAGCCAAATTATCAGAGCCAGTTCACTACTCTAAACTGAGTCTGAATCAAGCTGCAGATGGATCCAGTATTCTCAACTATGAGGAACAGAAGAGGCCCAGCAAGAACAAACGGGACAAGAGGCCACAACTAGAGAAAAATGGTGAGAAAAGCCCAAAGGCTGTGCGGATGGAGGATACCTCTAAAGTTAAAGACTTGGTTTCATCCCTATTGGATCAACTGAGGTTTGTTGACTGACTGGTTATGAATCATTATTATTTGATAAAATCATTATTTAAAAAAAAAATTTTTTCCACTTGACCATAGGAAACTGTGGACGGTGCAGTGACCTGTTTTTCTTCATGATTTGTGTGATTTAACCATGTATTCTGTGTTAAATAAAAGCTTTTTTTTCTGCCTTAAATGCACCCTCTCTCTCATAAATTACCTGGGGATTCTGTGTGCGGCAACTTTATATAGCATGTTTCGTACACAATGGTAATTCAAAGTGCTTTTACATAAAATGAATTAAACTGATTTAAGACCGTTTAAAAATCTGATTATCCATTAAAATACAGTGCCATCAGTTTGGACATCGCACAGTGCTCCTTCAATAACTGCACCGCTAAACGGATGAGTTTTGAATCTCGCTTTAAATGTGACTATTTTAGCACATCTGATTCCTTCTGGAAGCGGATTCCAACTGCGGGTGGCAAAATGGCTAAAAGCCGATTTCCCCTTGTTTTATGTGAACCCTTGGTATTTCTAACTATCCTAGTGGTCTGTTAGGTTTATATTCAGTGCGCATATCTGCAGTGTATTTAGGTCCTAGGCCATTGAGTGATTTATAAATGTGTAAAAGTACTTCAAAATCAATCTTAAACATAACTGGAAGCTAGTGTGAGGACCTGCTCAGATTTTCTGGTTCTAGTCAGAATCCTGGCAGCAGTGTTCTGGATGAGCTGTAGCGGTCTTATGGTCTTCTTGGGAAGGCTGGTGAGGAGACCATTACAATAGTCTACCCTGTTGGTAATAAAGGCATGAACCAGTTTCTCCAAGTCTTGACTGGAAACAAAACCTCCAATTCTTGCAATGTTTGAGATGATATTATGCTGATTTAGTTACTGCTTTGACACGACTACTGAAACTAAGGTCTGTCTCCAGAATCACTGGCAGAGGGAGTCAATGGAGCTGTAGTCATTTGGTGATAAGGCTAGGTAAATATGGGTATCATCAGCATAGCTGTGATAGGCAATTTGGTTCTTTCTCATTATTTGACTTAGTTGGAGCATATACAGGCTAAACCAGAGCGGTGCAAGAATTGAGCCTTGTGGGACTCCGCATGTCATGGACGTCCACTTAGACTTATGCTCTCCTATACTCCCATAACCTCTCCCTTATAAGTATGACCTGAACCATTTGAGTACCATCCCAGAAAGCCTGACCCAGTTTTCCAGTCTCTCAAGAAGTATGTTATGATCAACAGTGTCAAACGCAGCACTGAGATTTTGCCAGAATCAATGTAAGCGAATATCATTTATCTTAATGAGCGCTGTCTCTGTGCTGTGATGCGGTCGGAAACCAGATTGAAAATTGCCCAGGTATCCATTTGAGTTTAAGTATTTGTTTAGCTGATTTAAAAACTACCTTTTCAATAATCTTGCCTATAAAAGGAAGATTTGATTTTGGTCTATAATTGCTCAAAATGGTGTTATCAATATTGCTCTTTTTCAGAAGGGGCTTAACAACTGCAGTTTTCAGGGAGTTTGGAAACATCCCAGAAAGAAGTGCGGCATTCACCACTTCTAAGAGATCTGCCTCCAAACAGTTAAGCAACCTTTTGAAAAAAGATGTGGGAAGTGTGTCAAGATAGCAGGTTGACGTTTTTAGGGGCTGCACTATTTCTTCCAAAATTTTGCTATCAATTGCTTCAAAAATAGACATAGTATCTTCTTTTTGATATTGCGGTCGAATCTGTCTGACCTCTGCATAACTTGAGGATGTGCTAATCGCCTTCCTGATATTAATGATCTTCTCAGAAAAGAAGGAAGCAAACTCATTGCATTTGCTGTCAGAGAGCATTTCACTGGGAATCTGACTTTTGTCAGTCTCTCAACAGTAGCAAAAAAGAGTGCGAGTGTTGTTTAAGTTACTTACTTATAAGGTTTGAGAAGAAACTGTCTAGCTGTGGCTAGTTCCACATTGAAAGCATGAAGGCTGTCTTTGTTTCGTTTAGAAACATAAAATCCAGGTTGTTTGTGGTTATTAAGTCATTGATTAGAAATGATTTATTTTTTAGTGAGCGAATGTTTAAAAATGCTAACTTGATGCCATTGCTTTGTGTCTTTACAGCGATTTTAGTTTGATGCACAATAGACCGCAGATTAGATGAGTCAGCCGTACAGCTTGAGAAGGCCTTAGACTTTCTATCACGTGATAAAACAGAAATAGAGAAAGCTACAGGCACACTGGGTTCCCGCTTGTTCTGTAAACAATTGTGAATGTTGCTGCTATCATAGCGGGGACCCAACACATATCACTGAGAGCTGCTGTTGTTTTTGGTTCACCTACAGCAGATGGAGGGTTTGGGCCCTGGCGTTGTGGCAGCAGCCGGAAAGCTCTCACAGGAGGAGGAGGACGAACTGGGCCCACAGGCTTTGGTGGTTGGGGGGCCCGCCGTTTTTCAGTTGATATCTGGGGGCTTGCAGCGAATTCACTAAAGAATAAACCATAATGGTTTTTGTTTTAGGTTCATGGTTATTAATTTTGATATTATAAACTTATTACATCTTATCTTCTCCACTGACTGGAAAGACAATACTTATACTTTATCAATATTTCGCTCTCTCTCATTTTTTCACTTCTAATTAGAATTACTATACATTTCAAATAGGTTTTTCCAGGTATCTGAAATTTTTTTTTCTTCTAATGTGCAAATATAAAGGCAAACCATTTTATATTACATTACAGTATCAAGTCAGAGAATTATGCCTTTTATATGGGGTTTCGTTAATATCTTTAAATCTTAATAGCTCAATGTGTGCTCGTCAATGTATTCTGGGAATGACCCATGTAGATTCTGTAGTAGAAACCTTGTACTGTAGACTGCCGCGCCCAGATGTCGCTGTTGGATGTTCCTTTCCAAATGTGCTGTCCTGTACACTACATGCTCGGAGCGGGTTGGGGGGGGGTTCTCTGTCATCCCGAGTGTGACCCTGGCTGCTATTTCCTCCGCTCGAGCTATAAAGTGCCCGTGCATTTCCCACGCACCCTCTTTCCCCGGCCACCACACCGTGAGTGCATAACTCACTGTTCTTCAGTACCTTTAAAAAAGAAAAAAAAAAACATGTAAAAAAAATACAAAATAACGAAAACCTCAAAAAATAACTCCTTTAAACCAAACAACATTTTTTAAAAGGGCAAACTTTTTGTTTTTTAAAAGACAAGGTCTCGATCTACCCAGAAGTTTCTGAAGCCAGTTCTTCGCGAGCGGACTCCATATGCTGTAGCTGTCATTGCTGCCGACATCGTTTATTTGGAGAGTAGCGTAAAAGTTTAATAGAGGATTAAGAGTCTCATTTGTCCCTCTGGTTCTAGGACACTCTTTACGCACTGTCATTTCAGCACTAGACAAACACACGAGCTCAAAGGCTTGAACGACCCCGAGACATGAACGCTGCGACGGCGGGGAGTTATCCGATGGCTTCTCTCTATGTGGGCGACCTGCACCCTGATATCACGGAGGCTATGCTGTATGAGAAATTCAGTCCGGCCGGCCCGGTGCTGTCCATCCGCGTGTGTCGGGATATGATCACGCGGCGCTCGCTGGGCTATGCCTACGTCAACTTCCAGCAACCTGCGGACGGTAAGACATGACAGACAGCGCCCTGTCGTCCTGCGTCTGACTTTAAACGTGATGCATATAGCTGACAGAGTAACGGGAATAATGTGTCATGCTTTGTGCTTTAATGTTGGGACACTGGAGGTGATGTGTAGTGCGTACCCTCGGCGCGCTCTCTCTCCTGTGCGCTGTCACATGTATTTCTGAGTTAACCACATCAAGCTGTTCTTCACCCCTCTCTACTACAACCATCTTTAACATCTTCAACAAACCGCTTTATTCTCCTAATATGGCCTATTGCGAGAAAGTAAGGGTTTACTGACTGTGACCGTCACACCGCATTATGTCCAGCCAATATGGCAAGCTGCTTTAACATACAAAGCGAACTAATATTTCAGTTAACGGCTATTTATTTTTTCAATACTCTTAATTAACACTATATTTTGTTTTAGTTATGTTTTTAAAGTTTTTTTAATCATTGTTTTATTCATAATTACTATTTAAATAGTGGCAACGCCTTATTCAATTCAATTCAAGTTTATTTGTATAGCGCTTTTCACGATACAAATCGTTGCAAAGCAACTTTACAGCAAATTTAGTTTCTACAATATGTAGTGGTAGCTTATCAGTGGTGACTGTCAATTAATGTACATATGGCAGAAATGTATGGAAAAATCAATTAAAGACGTAATCAAACAGACGATGAACACTATTAACAGCAATTATTAAATGATGCAATCAAACTTATAGCAAAATTTGGTAGTTCTGTATGTTGTTTCATGGTTGGTATCATCTGAGGTCTTCTGAGGGGTTGGCATCATCTCTTCTCAGGTGTTCTGGATTCAGACTGAAGCTTGTGTAAATCCTAGTTACCACGGGATGTCAATCCTGTGGCAAAAACAGAGAAACAAATAGAGACATAATTAGCGTAGCTGCTGTTCCAACCAAGCAAAATTGATTTGTTTAACCCAAACTAAAGAATAATAATGTGCATTTGATCAGATGCATTTGTAACTGCAGTACAAGATTATGAGATGCATTATTTGAATGCTTGGCCAAAGAGATGTGTCTTTAATCTAGATTTAAACAGAGAGAGTGTGTCTGAACCCCAAACGTTATCAGGAAGGTTATTCCAGAGTTTGGGAGCCAAATGCGAAAAAGATCTACCTCCTTTAGTGGACTTTGCTATCCTAGGTACTACCAAAAGTCCAGAGTTTTGCGACCTTAGGGAGTGTGATGGATTGTAGCATGGTAGAAGACTAGTTAAGTACGCACAAGAATTATGCCTTTTATATGGGGTTTCGTTAATATCTTTAAATTCACTTATTCACTTATTCCACTGTTATTAGTGAAAAATTGTCTTTGGAATCTATGGGGATCCAAAAAATACTAGTACTTTTTTAGTTACTAGTAACTATACCAGTAATTAGAATAAGTATTTCTTCCATTTTTGTGTAGTTAGTATTTTACTTTTTAGTACTATTTAAAAATACAGTACTAGCAACTATATCTCAGTTACTGTTATTTTTTCTTTGTACTAATAGTAGCCTACTAGTATTTTATGTTACTAGTATTACTAGCAT